CTCTGTCTTCAGGATGTCTTGCTTTCTCCTCCTGTTTCACCTCCTCCTCCTACATGTTATCTACTTCTCTTCTGTAAATATCGTCTCCTCTTACTCCTCCTCCATGTTGAAATATCTTGTATGTTCGTGCTCGTTCTCTTTTATTTGGACATTTTCTTGAACTCCTCCATCTAAATGTTTCTCCCTTCCTTCTCTGGACCACCATCACCTCTTTCTCTCCATCTCTGAATCCTCTTTTTATGTTGTCTCCTTCTGCTCCTCTTCCTACTTTGTTTTCATTTTCTCCTCCAGTCATCATTATCTCATCTGCATCCTCTCCCATAATGTCTTCATTCTCCTTCCTGTTATCTCCTCCTCCTCCTCAGTGATGAAGCCACTAAAGTCTCATTGTTGTTCTCTTTGTTTGTAATAAATCTCCCGCGCGCCTCCTCCTCTCTGACTCACACTGACTAAAGGAGACAAAAGAGAATGAAAGACGTTGTTGAGTCACTTTGGAGGTTTCAAAGCAGAGAAATGGATTAAAGAGCTCAAACTGTCTGAAACCAATTGATTCTTCCTTCCTGAATAGAAACAATAAAATAATAAAAGAAATAACTGGACTTGAGTTCAATATAATCATTGTTACTGAAATCCAGTTCAGCATTGAAGAATTATGGCCATCAGGCCACATCTTCAAAAGTTTAGTAACCAAATGCAGACAAACAATAACAGATACCAAACCCAAACCTATAAGTCCTGTCCAGCTTCATCTAAACATGCTTTGTACTGATTTTGGTAAAGATTAGATACATTTGTGCCAAAAGAAGCAAAAAAAATGTCTAAAAAAAAAATCTGAAATGGCAGAATGTTTTTAAAGTGTGAATGGGCGTGGCCTATATCAGAAATACTGGCTTCATCTGATTACAGTAAAACATTTATGGTCATTGTGGACCGATATTTGGCCAATCTTAATGCCGTTCAAAACTTGTTATATCTACTATCAAAAGAATGTTTGTGTGGATTTTAGTAGAATTTGAGTGAAAACTTGGGAGATATAGATGTTAGTTGATTTTGCATATTTTGAAAAAAAATAGGGCGAGGGACTTTTGAATAGACCATAGGTTACAGTGAGACAACCCTTTGTCACAATTAGCAGGATTTACTTAGATATTTACATTTTGGGAATTTGAAACACTTAATAACAGACCACATGGTGCTATTAAATACATGAGTTATGTTTGTATAGTTGGAGATGTTACCTTGCAGCCTGTGAGATCTTTTTCTTCAAGGCTTGTGGGTTCTCCACTCAGTAGCACTAACATAAATGAACATGAAACTGACATCAATGAAAAAACAGTAGAATTTGAATCTGAATTGGTGAAATGTTCCTTTAATGCTGCAGGATCAGTGTGATACTAATACTCTCTGAGTATTACAAAGCTTTTATTTAACTCTCTCTCACGTGTGTGAGGTTGTCTCTTTAAACACACTGCAGTGATACTGCGCTTTGCTCCAACATGAAACTGAGCTCTAGTACAAACTGATGTGAAGTGAAATCCCTTCTGGAGCTGCTGATGTTCATTCTGTATTCATCCAGCACACAGCCAGGTTACTTCTTCCTGCAGATAAAATGAGAGCGACTCAGCTGGCTTTCATCACATTCACAGCTCAGCAGAATCACAGAAACAACATCACAGGATTCAAAAACCACGTTAGAGAGAGAAAAAAAATGTACAAATGATCCTCAGAGTCTGAGGACTGTTTGATGGATCAACTCCACACTGTGATCCCACTTTAAAGATATCTTGATTACAAACAGCAGTTCCTCAAAACGAGCATTTTCAAAGTTTCTAACCCATTTCTGATTTAACCCCCAGCTGGAGTCTCTACATGTGTTATATTGTCAGTGGTGGAAGAAGCACTCAGATCTTTACTGAAGTGAAAGTGACAATACCACAGTGGAAAAATACTGCATGTGAAAGCACCACAGCGTTGTACTGAAGATGATTTCAGGGTAAAAAATGAAATGAAAGATAAAGATGCTGAAACTCTCCGACACTGTTGATGACCTCTTGTCTGAGGGGAAGCCTTTCTGCACTTTGCAGTATTTCTGTACAGGGGTATCCTGTTTCAGCAGTTAGAGCATCTTCACTAAAGTCAACATCTGTATGTATTATTAACAGAGCAGGAATCTGCCCTTCATCTTCATCAATAATGCAGAGAGGTATGAAGATGAGCTGAGAGGACCGGAAGAGTTAGGAAGAGCTTTTCTTTTTGATGGCTAGCAGTTTCCCCCTACTTCCAGTCTTTGTGCTAAGCTAGGCTAATCCCAACAGACAAAGATGAAACTGACTGACTCTGCTGTCCAAAATCATCATCAGCAAATATAATCCTAATTATCATTACTATTACTACCAGTTCAGTATTATGTGGTACTGCAGTTCTGTGTGGGGTTTGTCCAAGTGGTGTTGCCATACTCAGTAGGTGATTTGTTCAGTTTTCAGAGGGAGATTGGCTCTACTATACTGTACTATACTCTTTAATTAACCCGCTATATAAGCAATAGTTTAGAGAATATTATAGATCCAAGATCAAACTGACTGAAGGCTGCAGTTACAATGCCTTTGTCATGACTCAGGATTGGATCCATATGCAAGACAGCACAGGCAACAGGAAGACTTTGGTGATTGCATGAAGATAACTTACAGATATTCAGGCAGGAAACATATACTAGTCCAAAGCAAAAGCCAAAACATCCCATAATGCAACACAGGAGAAAAACAACCAGGGACAAAACCAAGAGCAAAGCATCATGGGACAAAATGAACTGACAACTGAAAAAGACTAAATACACAAAGAACTGATAAACCAAGGAAACACAGGTGAACCTAAACAGGGCGGGAAAACAATGAGAACCGGAGGGAAAGCTGCATACTCTTATTCTGATTGATCTGATCTTGGTGAGTAAATAAGCCGTTTATCTACAGGAACAATATGTGTTGGAACAGGAGATGCATTAACAGAAAGGCTGTTCAAAACTTGTTGTTTGAATATATTTTGTCAAAGTCACAATGAGTAAGAAAAAGCTCAAATTCTGTTTCATTATTGTAACGATTCTCAAAGACACTGTATGAATTTCTGTGGTTAAACCCCAAAAACGTTAATGCACATGGCGTTTGTTATACTCTAACTGTTTCACAATATATTGGGTTTTTATTCTATTAAATTGCAATATATCACAATATATTGGATCGTACCTCCTGTGTCGTATCACCAGATTCTTGCCAATACACAGCCCTACTGCGGGTTCCACTCGACCTCCGCAGGACGCCAGGGAGCTCGGATCCCGTTAATACCTGCTCACAGGTCTACTTCTGTTTATGTTTGTTCATTTTGGTCTCAAAAGCCTTTTGCTGACACTTTTACTAACATACTGATCGGCTCCGGTGGGTTTTATATCAGCCGGATTTACCATTTCTATCACGAGCTGCCTCTTCTGAATCCGTCCCTACAATCCAGAGAGCCTTAAATAGGAAGATTTCCTTATGAGGTCTGGCAGTAACAAAGAGCAGATTGATGGATTTAACAGCTGATAAAGGTGATAAAGGACTCTCTGCCCTCAGGCATTCACTACCTGACACATTTCTGATATTCTGAAGCATTTACAACAACCCCCAAACTACTGAGCACATGACCCCCCCATTCAGAAACGCAGTAACCAGTAACTCCTCCTGTCCCAGCTTCAATGTGCACACTGAGTTGGATTTACAACGACGGCCCATACATGTCACTTTTGTTGTTTTAAGAAAGAGCAGGTGGTGTAAACTGATCAGCTCACTGAGGTTAAGTAACATACACTCCTTGGAGGAAAACTTGTGCCAAACTCCATTGACAAACTATCCTATTTAAGACTTTTTTGCTATTTGGCCACGGTTTGCATTCTATAAAGACAGACTGGAGACATTGTCTAGTTACTAAGAGTACATTCTCCACTTCGGCATAAACCTGAGTCACCAAACTGTTAGTGTTTTAATTATATATCGGTTTATTGTGTTGTTTCACAAACATGGCTCCCATTGCCACCAATTAGAATTTGATTACATTTAGAATTTGGTAAATTCTAAAGGGAGTTCTGAATGAACAATAAAGTTGTTGTTTTGTTGTTTTTCAGCAGTGATTAACAATGGTGACACGGAGAGATGACGATGGCCAATCAGGAGACCAGCCAATTGAACTGCATCAGCTGTCACCATGATAAAATAAAGCAGTAAAATAATGTACAAAAACATTAATAATTCATAAATATTAACCTCAACTTTCACTTACTTACCTTTTCAACAGCTTCTAACCATAGATAGACAGACAGACGGATAGATGTAATCATCATCACTCTGTGTCCTGCAGCGCCCCCCGCTGGATGAAGCCTGATAATACACCACACACTCTGGCTCTACACTGACTTTATTGGGCAGTGGTTCAGATGCTGCAGGTTGAACAGAAAGTTGTGCCAAACTCCATTGAAAATGTGTCGTATTTAAGACTGCCTTGGTATTTTGGTAGAAACGGGCTGAAAGAGGAAGATTTTCATATGAAGTCTGGCACGAAGTCTCCTTTTATATCAGCTGAATAAACTGTAAGACTACACTCATTTGTTTGACATCTTATATTAAACTCTTGTGGACTCCTGTTGTTTTAAAGTGGACGATTTTTAAATGAAGTCTGGCATGAAGTCTCAGAACACAGAGGTGTAAACTGTCCTTAAGCCTGCTAAATGTTTGTTTTCCTTGCATGCAGTGAAACTCACAGCCATCGCAGCCCATTTAACATCTAATATGGGTTACAGTGACAGAGACAGTGATGATGTCATCATGATGTCATCAGATGGGGGGGTATTTTGGGAATACTGATTAATGCCAGTTGCTATAGAAAACAGGACAGTTTAAAGTCTAACATTTAACAACATGTTGTCTTTTCTTCCAGACCTTGTATGGAAGCCCAATTTCTGCCAGGAAAATAATACATTACGTTTCAAAATAGTTTTATTTATTTTTATCTTATTTTAATATTGGGGGTGTTTATCAAGGGCAAGATTAAAGATGTTCAGTATAGGTATTACAATACAAACACACTGACTCACAGCCATGTAGACATCCCATTCTCAATAAACATGTGCACGCTGACAAAGACTAAAAGTACATTTCCTGTCAGACATTTTGTATTTTTTTATATGACATGACATTATAGTGAGGCAGTATCACGCACTGCAATAATTCAATTTTATTTGTATATCGCCAATTCATAACAGAAGTTATCTCAGGACACTTTTCAAATAGAGCAGGTCTAGACCGAACTCTTTAAAAGATTAATTACAGAGACCCAACAGTACCACCATGAGCAAGCACTTGGCGACGGGGGCAAGGAAAAACTGCCTGTTAAAAGGCAGAAACCTAGGACAGACCCAATACCACTTCTATGTGTGAAGTGATGCTGCTGCTTCAACCTCTCTGGATCATCAGGACACAGCGGATCCTCCAACACAACCTCCTTCCTCACCGCTCACAGTCTGACTGAGATCACAAACATCTGAGGAGAGAAGGAGACAGGACAGCAGAGATAAATCAGTGTTTACAAAGACTCCCTCCATCAGCACATCCAGTATAAAGAGCAGCAGGATCTGAACACATCATTACTGTGCTGACCCCTCCAACCTCTGGTTAGTCTGGGTCTTTTTATTTATGCGGGGGCCGCATTTTTTCAAATCCGCCGCACTTTCGCCACATAAATTGCTGATTTCCGCGCAAAATACGCGGGGCTTGCATGATTTCATAATCCCCGCATTTTCGTTGCATAAAAGTCACATATATCTTAGCAGAAAGTTGAAAAATGTTTACTTCACACAAGAGTAGCCATTTTCCCCTGTTGCCATGGGAACGTTATAAAGGGACGTAATTACGCAACGTGACCATCATCGAAAAGCTGCAAACCCCGCGATGAAGCCGCAGTTTTTGCAAGTTCCCGCAATTTCATTGCATAAAATTGCATAAATATCCCGCATATTCGCATTTTAAGAAAACGTGCCGATTTTTTGCCCGCAACAAAACAAAACTCCGCGTTTTTCTGGAAGGACTGACTACACTACTGATCTCACTGACTTACATATACATATTATGATTTGTGACCGTGAATATTGTTTAATTAAACTTTTGTTTAAAACATTTAAATTCTCTGTGTGGTCTCCCTCCTTTGTCATAACCCTAGAGCAGGTTCATGAAAAAGTGGGGGCTCGTCAAAAACTAAATAGTTTGGTAAGTACATTTTTTTGTTTAGTTTGTAGTAGTGGCAATTGGATTGTTGACTTTCCCGATGTTTAACATTTTTGGAAAGGTTTGTTTTGGTGCCATTTGTTCGCTTAGGTAAATTGTTCTGGGAGATGCGCACAGATTTTTGAGTTTTGGTTTTTGAAGATAGGGCGCTCTGATAGCTCGTTTTTGTTGCAGTGTGGGTTCTTAGTAAATGGATTTGGAAAAAAAAATGTTGGCGTCCTTTTCCCATGTTAGGTTTCAGACAGCGGGTTCTGTTTGGGCAATCCGTTGGTTTTTGTTTTTGTAGTGTGCTGGTGAATGTGGGTAGAGCATTGCTCAGGAACACCTCAGTGGATTCTGGGAGGGTCGCTGGTTAACCAGTTGCTTTCCCACACCACTGATTTCGAGTGTGTAAGTACCCCCCACAATTAACCACCTGAAGACTAGGGTTGAGTTAGTTAGTTTGTTGAGTGAGATAGATTGGGGGATTGGACTCCAGGTTCGTGCCGTTTGAATTTTAAACCTACACTTTTGCGTTATACTCAGAGGAAGCTGCTTTTGTAATATAGGTTCTATTGTCAAAGATTTTATTGAGACTCCTTCAGTGGAGCTATTGGATAAGTGTACAAAAGGACCAATTATTGAAGATTGCTAAACACTTGTGATGTTGAGGTAACTGATAAAAGTTTGAAGGAAAACATAAAAACATGAAGTGTCGTCTGTGGCAGTGACACCTGAGGCATTTACGTTTGAACAGCAAAAGGAATTTTTGTTAATCAAGCTTGAACATGAACAGTTGATGCAGCATAAACTCTTGGAACTAGAAGTCATGAAACAAAAAAACAGTATAGACTGCAGCTAATTGGAGAGGGAAAGCTGTCTGGTGGGGTTGCTGTCGAGGGAGAAAATCTATTTAAGATGGAAATAACCTGAAATTGCTTCCCAAGTTCCCAGAAGAAGATCCAGACCTATTCTTCTTTGTTTGAGTGAGTGGCAGAGTCCAGGAATTAGTCTGATGAGGAATGCACGCTACTCTTACAATGTGTCTTCACGGGTAAAGCGCTGGAGGCTTTTGCTTCTCTGACTGTAGCTGAAAGTAAAAGGTATAACGTTGTTATGACTGCAGTTTTGCACGCATATGAGCTTGTTCCTGAAGCCTATCATCAACATTTTAGGAGTGCAAGGGAGAAGGAACATCAGACTCATGTTGAGTTTGGACGAGATTTGGTGGTTCAGTTTAATCGCTGGTGTTCTGCTTCAGACGTTACGTTTAGAGAGCTGGCTGATGTGGATGCAGTGGAGCAATTTAAAAATTGTGTGCCAGATAATATTGCAACATATATCACTGAACGAAAAGTTAAAACGCCCCAGGAAGCGGCAGTGTTGGCTGACGAATACACCCTGACCCACAAAAATAAGTTTGGCGAAAGCAGTGTTGATGCGCGGCAGGGCAGTACAGCAGCAGCACGTGGTAAGACCATATCTTCCAGGCCTGAGCATGGCACATGGCGGAAAAATAATTCGACTGAGACGTGGATTACTGCCACCGTAAAGGGCACTGGAAAAGTGAGTGTCCTGTTCTTGAGGAAAAATTTAAGTTTTCAGCTAGTACCCAAGTAAAACCTGCTGCTTTGGCTGCCTCCATTTCACCAGCCCAGTTGGTGTTCATGTTCAACAGTCACCCTGAAGCCCTTTGTCCCTTGGTTTGTAAGTCTGAAAGCCAAGGTAATTAAATGGTAAATGGACCTGTATAGCGCCTTGCTAGTCTTCCGACCACTCAAAGCGCTTTTACACTACGTGCCACATTTACCCTTTCACACACATTCACTCAGTGATGGCAAAGTCCATCGAACAGAAACTAACTCATTCATACACCGATGCTGTGCATTGGGAGCAATTTGGGGTTCAGTATCTTGCTCAAGGATACTTCGACATGTGGCCGGAGGAGCCGGGGATCAAACCAACAACCTTCCGATTAGGAGACAACCCGCTCTGCCTCTGAGCCATAGCCGCCCATATTACTCAGTGTATATTTTGGATGGTTATGTGTCCCTGCCGGGGACCAACAATGTGGAAGTTAAAATTTTGAGAGACACAGGAGCCAAACACTTGTTTGTAAGTCGGTTCTGACCTTCTCCTCAGAGATATTGGAGATATTGTTTTGATGCTAGGTATGGGTCTTTACAAACGGCTGATTTGCAATCATTCTCCCTCTCTCCTTCCAGTCAGCAGGTTCCTGGTTTGTTGCTGTCTTTGGTTTTCTGATAGTCTTTTGGTATTTGGAGATATGCATTACCTTTTTCCACACAGTCTTCACCCAAGTCCACACACACTCAATACACTACTGATCTCACTGATTTACATATACATGTGATTTGTGACCGTGAATATTGTTTAATTAAACTTATTTTTGTTTAAAACATTTAAATTATGTGTGGTCTCCCTCCTTTGTCATAACCCTAGAGCAGGTAGATAAAGCTGATAAAAACCACAGTCTCAGTCACATTTGAATGTTTCATCTGAAATCTTACAGGACAAATGTGTAAATATTCAAACTATTTGGACAAACAAGAGACAAATGGACAGATATATATCTGATGTTAAAGGTCCTACATGTTCATACAAAGACTGAACACCTACACATCAGCTGTGAGTACTGGACTCCAGCAGAGGTCCTGGTCTGTACAAAGACCACATGGTCACTAAATGTAATGATGCTTATTTGCAGGCTTCAGTCAGACTGATCTCAGAGCTGTGACAAAGACCAACTGATCAGTTGTTTAGTGTAGAAATGAGAGAACAAACAGTGTGAGATCAGACTGGATGAATGAGGACCACTGTCTCTATACATCTTGTAATGCTGTCAGCTGGAATCCAGCTTTATTTCCTGAACACATGAACACAACAACAACAGTCGTCTTCACATCAACTCAAACACATGATCACAACAAGCGTCTGTCTGTCTGTCTGTCTAATCCTGAAGCCTGTCCCCATTCTCCTCACAGCTTCACTGAGGAAAGCAGCAAATACTGGATCTGTGTTTAGTCCAAGACTGCTGGAACCAGCATGGACTGACTCAGACCCTCTACTGACCTCAGAGTCTGCAGTCTACAGTGTGGACTCTCCACAAGATCAGACAGCAGCTTCACTTCTGAGTCATTCAGGTTGTTGAAACTCAGGTCCAGCTCTGTCAGATGGGAGGGGTTGGACTTCAGAGCTGAGACCAGAGAAGAACAGCTGATCTCTGACAAACTGCACTCCCTCAATCTGAATAAAGAATAAAAGATGTGAGTTTATAATGAAACAGTTCAGTCAGTAGAAACATCACACAGCTTCATAATATAATTCAAAAAAGTTATTGTCTGACAGTTGAAATAAAGATGATTTATTTATTCTTTGTGTTAATTCATTTATGTTTATGGATGATTTAAACCACAAGGTGGCCTTTAATGTAAAATCAAGAGCTGAAGAGGTTCACAGTGAATTATTCAGTGTAGAAACCACTGAAGAAGAAAACAGACTTTAGCATTAAGATACTCAGTGTGGATCAGTATAACATCAACCTGTCTGCACTTTACTGTCAGCACAACTTTAACATCACATTCATTTCAGCACAGAAATAAAAACATGGTGTCTGACCTCAGAGTCTCCAGTCTACAGTGTGGACTCTCCAGAAAACCACACAGCAGCTTCACTCCTGAATCCTGCAGGTTGTTGTTACTCAGGTCCAGCTCTCTCAGATGGGAGGGGTTGGACTTCAGAGCTGAGACCAGAGAAGAACAGCTGATCTCTGACAAACTGCAGCGACTCAAACTGAATAAAGAATAAAAGATGTGAGTTTAGAAGACAATGTTCCTGCTTGAAATCATTCAGTGTTTAATAATCTGTTCAGAGCTGAAGAAGGTTTACAATGTACAAGTTTAAAGAATAAATGATGAAGATAAAATCATTTATAATCCAATCAGATGTGTTCAGGTTTTTAATGTGTAGATCAACACAGAGAGCTAATGCTACGCTACGAGTCAGAGAGCTAATGCTACGCTACGAGTCAGAGAGCTAATGCTACGCTATGAGTCAGAGAGCTAATGCTACGCTACGAGTCAGAGAGCTAATGCTACGCTACGAGACAGAGAGCTAATGCTACGCTAGGACTCAGAGTCAGTGACAAACAGTAAATATAATGTGACAGAATGTTTAACCAGACTAGCTCGCTATCAGCCAGGTCATTGTCCCCAAATCAATGTGCAGATTTGGACCAACGATAGGACATGTGCACTGACGGCCGCAGCCTGAAGTAGCGAGTTGAACAGCCAATGGGATGTGAGTATCAGTGAGTTCAGAGGGGGGGGTCGGGCTGTGGTGTTCAGAGGATGAAGGACGACACTCAGTGCTGTCAGATAGATTTATGAGATATTCACATTCTGTTTGAATTCAGTTGATATCATTCATTAAGAACGGTGAACAGACAGTTTCACTGGAACATCTCAGTAGCTGTCCTACAGCAGGACGTAATGGACACCCAGCAGCCAATCACAATGCAGGATTCACACACACCATGGTATAAGGATCAACATCAATTAGGTTGAGTTGTTAATGAAAGATATCAGATCTACAACAGTAACAGAGAGTCAGTGAACTGACCTCAGAGTCTCCAGTCTACAGTGTGGCCTCTCCAGAAAACCACACAGCAGCTTCACTCCTGAATCCTGCAGCTTGTTGTAACTCAGGTCCAGCTCTCTCAGATGGGAGGGGTTGGACTTCAGAGCTGAGACCAGAGAAGAACAGCTGATCTCTGACAAACTGCAGTAACTCAATCTGAATAAAGAATAAAAGATGTGAGTTTAGAAGACAATGTTCCTGCTTGAAATCATTCAGTGTTTAATAATCTGTTCAGAGCTGAAGAAGGTTTACAATGTACAAGTTTAGAAAATGGAAACTCCAAACACCTGAACCCAACAAGATGCAGGTTGCAAACTGTAAAATACAAAGAGGTAAAAAGAGCTCTCATTAATATTAATGAAAACGTGCTGCTGCTTCAATAAAGACGTAGTGACTTCAGCTCTTAACCTCTGCCAGCTCCACCAGTGGCTCCATCTATACAAACTCATGTTGTGCAGCCAAACACAAAGAAAAAGCCACAGAAAGTGATTGAAGATTTGATTCTATTAAAGATAAAATGCTGTCATCTTGAGTGTAAATATTCAGTCCGTAGAAACGTCACATATCATCAGAAAGGTTTGGAACAAGCTGATATGTTTGTTCCTGTCTGACAGAGAAGGAAACATGCCTCTGTTTTTATTCAAATGAGGGAAAGATGAAAATGAAATGATGAAGCGTTTAAGAGAGAATCAACCAGTGTTGTATTATTAATGTGATATTATATATGTTGGAAATATGAAGCTCAACAAGGTGTTCATTGTGAATCAGCATCAAATCTAAAATCTAATCTGAGAATCCTCAAAGATCTGAAAGCTTTGGAATAAAGTTCTGAAAGTATGAACTATAGTTTAACATGAAATATTACAATTGGATTACCAACAACAAGTGGCATCAGTTTTCTGTGAGCAGTTGCGGAACTGGACTTTTATACAACATAGGATTTGACCTCATAAACATCAGCATCTCAGCACAAAATAAAAAATGGCGTCTGACCTCAGAGTCTCCAGTCTACAGTGTGGACTCTCCAGAAAACCAGACAGTAGCTTCACTCCTGAATCCTTCAGGTTGTAGTTGTCACTCAGGTCCAGCTCTCTCAGATGGGAGGGGTTGGACTTCAGAGCTGAGGCCAGAGAAGAACAGCTGATCTCTGACAACCTGCAGCGCCTCAATCTGAATAAATAATAAAAGTGATGTGAGTTTAGAAGACAATGTTCCTGCTTGAAATCATTCAGTGTTTAATAATCTGTTCAGAGCTGAAGAAGGTTTAGAATGTACAAGTTTAGAAAAAGCTTTAGATTAGTGTCTATCTGGAATTCAATTAAATTTTATTTGTATAGTGCCAATTCATAACAGAAGTTATCTCAGTACCACCATGAGCAAGCACTTGGAGACAAGGGCAAGGAAAAACTGCCTGTTAAGAGGCAGAAACCTAGGACAGATCCTTCGGCTCTAGGTGGGTGGTCGTCTGCCTCGACCAGTTGGTGGGGGGGGAGGAGAGAGAGAGAGAGAGAGAGAGAGAGAGAGAGAGAGGAGGAGAGAGAGAGGAGAGAGAGAGAGAGAGAGAGAGAGAGAGAGAGAGAGAGAGATATGCACAGCAACAACAGTAGCAACAACTACACTAATAGTAGTGACTGAAGATGATGAACATGAAGATGATGACGACGACAGCAACGATGGGGGACAACAGTAATAATAACAATAACATCAGTGATATTAGCAATGGCAGTCAAGCAGGACCATGGCAGGAGGCTCCACCAGGATCCATGAGAACCTGCGAGACGAGAAAGCACAAGAACTCCGGGGAAGAAGTAAAGTTAGTAACATGCATTAATGGAACATGAATGAGTGCAGAAAGAGAGAGGAAGAGAGGAGCTCAGTGCACCATGGGCAATCCCCAGATAGTCTAGCCCTATAGCAGCATAACTAAGGGATGGTTCAGGACTCACCTGATCCAGCCCTAACAATAAGCTTTATCAAAGAGGAATGTCTTAAGCCTACTCTTAAATGTGGAGAGTGTGTCTGCCTCCAGAACCACAACTGGAAGCTGGTTCCACAGGAGAGGAGCTTGGTAACTGAAGGCTCTGGCTCCTGTTCTACTTTTAGAGACTATAGGAACCACAAGTAGCCCAGCATTCAGAGAACGTAGTGTTCTAGTGGGGTAATAGGGTACTATGAGCTCTTTAAGATATGAAGGGGCCTGACCATGAAGAGCTTTATAGGTGAGGAGGAGGATTTTAAATTCTATTCTTAATAAATCCTACAGTTTTCTGACTAACACCAATCCAGTTTGAGTACAGACCAAATCTGGAGCCAAATCATTCAGACTACTTAAACAAGAGCTGTTGTGATTTGTGCTCAGACAAACCCAGAAAGCAAAAGAACTGAAGGAGATTTAAAACTTCTGTTATATTTGGCAGATATACACAGAGCAAACACATGAACTGACCTCAGAGTCTCCAGTCTACAGTGTGGACTCTCCTGTCCAGCAGACAGCAGCTTCACTCCTGAATCCTCCAGGTCGTAGTTGTCACTCAGGTCCAACTCTCTCAGATGGCAGGGGTTGGACTTCAGAGCTGAGGCCAAGACTTCACAGTGAGTCTCTGAGAGTCCACAGTCAGAAAGTCTGTGAATACAGAGAATATAACCTTTAAAATAAAATCTGATTGCATTTAGATCACAAAGCAAATAAAGACACACATACAGTGGGTACGGAAAGTATTCAGACCCCTTTAAATTTTTCACTCTTTGTTTCATTGCAGCCATTTGCTAAAATCAAAAAAGTTCATTTTATTTCTCATTAATGTACACTCAGCACCCCATCTTGACAGAAAAAAACAGAAATGTAGAAATTTTTGCAAATTTATTAAAAAAGAAAAACTGAAATATCACATGGTCATAAGTATTCAGACCCTTTGCTCAGTATTGAGCTACTACAGCCATGAGTCTTCTTGGGAATGATGCAACAAGTTTTTCACACCTGGATTTGGGGATCCTCTGCCATTCTTCCTTGCAGATCCTCTCCAGTTCTGTCAGGTTGGATGGTGAATGTTGGTGGACAGCCATTTTTAGATCTCTCCAGAGATGCTCAATTGGGTTTAGGTCAGGGCTCTGGCTGGGCCAGTCAAGAATGGTCACAGAGTTGTTCCGAAGCCACTCCTTTGTTATTTTAGCTGTGTGCTTAGGGTTATTGTTTTGTCGGCCCAGTCTGAGGTCCTGAGCACTCTGGAAGAGGTTTTCTTCCAGGATATCTCTGTACTTGGCTGCATTTATCTTTCCTTCAATTGCAACCAGTCGTCCTGTCCCTGCAGCTGAAAAACATCCCCATAGCCTGATGCTGCCACCACCATGTTTCACTGTTGGGATTGTATTGGGCAGGTGATGAGCAGTGCCTGGTTTTCTCCACACATACCGCTTAGAATTAACGCCAAAAAGTTCAATCTTGGTCTCATCAGACCAGAGAATCTTATTTCTCATAGTCTGGGAGTCCTTCATGTGTTTTTTGGCAAACTCTATGCGGGCTTTCATATGTCTTGCACTGAGGAGAGGCTTCCGTCGGGCCACTCTGCCATAAAGCCCCGACTGGTGCAGGGCTGCAGTGATAGTTGACTTTGTGGAACTTTCTCCCATCTCCCTACTGCATCTCTGGAACTCAGCCACAGTGATCGTTGGGTTCTTCTTTACCTCTCTCACCAAGGCTCTTCTCCCACGATTGCTCAGTTTGGTCGTCCCAAACTTCTTCCATTTAAGGATTATGGAGGCCACTGTGCTCTTAGGAACCTTGAGTGCTGCAGAAATTCTTTTGTAACCTTGGCCAGATCTGTGCCTTACCACAATTCTGTCTGAGCTCCTTGGGCAGTTCCTTTGACCTCATGATTCTCATTTGCTCTGACATGCACTGTGAGCTGTAAGGTCTTATATAGACAGGTGTGTGCCTTTCCTAATCAAGTCCAATCAGTTTAATTAAACAGAGCTAGACTCCAATGAAGGAGCAGGACCATCTCAAGGAGGATCAGAAGAAATGGACAGCATGTGAGTTAAATATGAGTGTCACAGCAAAGGGTCTGAATACTTATGACCATGTGATATTTCAGTTTTTCTTTTTTAATAAATTTGCAAAAAATTCTACATTTCTGTTTTTTTCTGTCAAGATGGGGTGCTGAGTGTACATTAGTGAGAAATAAAATGAACTTTTTTGATTTTAGCAAATGGCTGCAATGAAACAAAGAGTGAAAATTTTAAAGGGGTCTGAATACTTTCCGTACCCACTGTAAATCATTCAACATTCATATTTAACACAGCATGTTTAAATGTAAGTTGTAGCCCCTTCATGCCACACACACATACACATATTACATTTATATTAGAATAAAATAAAATAAACAATACATACAGTTATTTACATATATAACTATAAACCCAGTAAATTAGTTCTGCAGTGCATTTTTTGAATGTGGGTCTGGGGGAATGTAAACAGCTACAGAAGCACATTGCCTTCACAAAAAACCATTTAGACATGTCGTAATTACAAGGAAAGATGTTGTGATGATGAGATCAGGATCTTTATGAAACAGTGGACTGGTCCCACATACTGGCCACTGTTTAGCTCAGTGGTACCTGGGGAAATGTTGAACAACAATCTGGTTTGAATTTTTAAAATATGCATATTCAAATCAAATCAAATCAAGTTTATTTGTATAGCCCTTTACAATAGCTGAAAGGTACCCAAAGTGCTTTACAACAAAGCCATAAAACAATACATAACACATACATAACATACAAATACAATTGAAAGTGCTGTAGTGCGCGCTGCAGGGTATTGAAAGCCTTCCAGAAATGCATAGAAAGGAGCAGACAGAAAGAGTACACCTAAGAGACAGTACTGCCATAGTCAGAATTGAATGCTAATCTAAAAAAGTGGGTCTTAAGCTTCGATTTAAAAAGGTTGAGATCAGTAGTGGTGAGAATGTCAGGGGGCAGTTTGTTCCACAGTCTGGGAGCAGCGACGGCAAAAGAACGATCGCCCCACTGTTTAAGTCTCGACCTAGGGACCTCTAACAGAAGCTGACCCGAAGAGCGCCGGGCTCTGCCACAATTGCAAAAAGTTAAAATCTCTGACAAGTAAGAGGGGGCCAAGCCATTAATGGCGTTAAAAACAAACAACAGAAGTTTAAAATCAATTCTAAAACGGACTGGAAGCCAGTGGAGTGACGACAGCACAGGAGTAATGTGTTCGCGTCTGGACGTGCTTGTTAAAAATGGGCAGCAGCGTTCTGCACAAGTTGGAGACGAGAAATTGAGGACTGACTGAGGCCAACGTAAAGGGCATTGCAGTAGTCCAGTCTTGAACTGATGAAAGCATGGATTGCCTTCTCGAGATCCTGCCGACTGAGAAGACTTCACTTTGGCCAAAAGAGGGAGCTGAAAAAAGCTTGTGCTGACAACAGAGCTAATCTGTTTGTCAAATTTGAGCCCAGTATCAAATGTTACCCCAAGATTTTTGACATGTCATTTAAAAAGGGGGCCGGAGTGCCAGAGTTTGTGGTGAAAACATTTGACATAGATGGTGAACCTGTAGTATAAAATTTAATGCATGCGGATGACTATTATATGCTAAAAATTCTAGTAATCACACAAAATGCTGGAAATAATGGTATAAGCACTATATTTTAATCACACACAGAAAAATCAAGTAATGAGCACTGTATTCAAGTAGAGTTGATTTTATGGTTAATATGATTTAAGTAAGGTTGATTTTATGTGAGCACACAAAACTGTTAATGAAGTAGAGAGCACCATTGTTCTAGTGAAAGTTTGATTTAATGGTTTGATTTAAAGTAGAGAAGAATATTGAATGTGTAGTTGTAGCAAGAAATAAGTTATGTTTGTACCAAAAATATGTGAATGATTGTAACACAAGCTTTTTGTCATTTTATAAGGTTTATAAAGATTTAAAAATACAGTAAAAGACGTCTATGACATAATGGTGTAAGAAAGAGGTAATGTAAGGTTTTAAAGAAAAGAAGTACAGCTAAATAGATTTCAAATGGGGTGAATAGTGTGAGAAAGAAGAGCAAAAAAAGGTCTAGGCATACTGCCAAAGGCCAGGACGCCAGCAAGGTTAATGATAAGAAGTGCTCAGGCCACAGGTGCAGAGGAGCTGAGGGTGATGTAGACAAGACAGTAGAGGGGACAGTCCCAGGTTGATGGAATTTTCCAGACATTTCCAGGGGGATGGACACCATTATGTCATGGATCAAAAAATTGACAGTTGGGCAGGACTTGTGTATAAAAGGTGATGTTCTGACATGAAAATTCAGTCTTTCCATGGATGACTCGGGTTTTAATCTTCTGCAAAGGGAATAAAGCTCTACTTCTACTGCCTACTTGGATGAATCCTGACTGTTTCTTTTCCATCTAAAGGAAATACTATTTGGACCTAATTTGGACTTAGAATTTTTCCAGCTAAAGGAAATACTATTTGGACCCAAATTGGACTTAGAATTTTCCATTCAAAGGATAATATTAATGGACCTGATTTGGATTTAAATCTGAGATGTTGGATATAATCTTCTGATCAGAAAAACCTGTTTTATTGAGAACCAACAAACCAAACAAAATGCATTCAGTTTTACTGAATGCATTTAAGTGCAAAAAGTTATGTGACAGCCACTGCTTTATATCTGTGATGCAGTCCAGCAGCTTAGTAAGTGCAGTGTTTTCGTTTGGTCTCATGGGCAAATATATCTGCAAATCGTCGGCATAAAAGTGAAAAGACAGGTTGTGTTTTTTTATAATTGATCCCAGAGGTAGCATATACAATGAAAACAGAATAGGGCTGATAATAGATCCCTGTGGCACCCCACAGGGCAGCGATGCATTTGAGGAGCAGTGGTCACCAATCACGACAGAGAAACTCCTGTTAGCCAGGTATGACCTAAACCACTGGAGAGCGGGGCCACGGATGCCAACGTGCTGGTCTAGGCGAGATACAAGGACTGCATGGTCGACTGTATCAAAGGCTGTTGTGAGGTCCAGCAGCACCAGCGCAGCAGGATTCCCAGCATCCACAGACAAGGCAATATCATTGTGCACGTTTAACAGTGCTGACTCGGTGCTATGTCGGGATCTAAAACCAGACTGAAATTTATCAAGAATAGAATTGATCTCCAAAAATGTCTGTAATTGAATAAAAACAACTTTTTCTAAAATCTTAGAAAGAAAAGGCAAGTGGGAGACAGGTCTAAAATTGGAGAGCACAGAGGGGTCAAGATGCGGTTTTTTTAGGAGGGGCCTAACCATAGCGTGTTTGAAGGCAGCTGGAACAGACCCTGAGCTAAGACAAGTGTTTATAAAAACAAGCAGACTTGACCCAACAGAACTCAGAACCTCCTTCAAAAACTTGGCTGGAATAATATCTAAGGTACAGTTAGTGGGTTTCATGCCACTAACCACCTTAGTACAAGAAGACAGAGAAATGGTCTCAAACCGCTCGAAGACAGCAGTCTGTGCCGGAGGAGCACAGACATCATCAAGAGACATATTCATATTACAGATATTCTGCCTGACAGATGCCACTTTATCAGTGAAAAAAGTCACAAACTCTTCGCAGGTTGCAGTGGAGGCATCGGACAGGACAGTAGGGTGTGGATTAACGACAGAATCAATAGTATTAAATAGCAGTCTTGGATGATGAGAGCTGTTAGCTATGATGGAGGACAAATATTTTGACTTGACTTCCTTTAGAGCTCTCTGGTAGGCAGCCAAACTGTCCCTTAACCAGCCCAGGGATACATGCAGTTTATCCTTTTTCCACCGCCGTTCAGCCTGTCTGCATTGTTGTCTGAGCAGAAGGGTGTGGTCATTCAACCAGGGATCTGACTTGGTTTTGGTAGTTTTTTGCCGAAAAGGGGCAACAGAGTCAAGAATCGCAGAACATGTTGAATGGAAAATGGAGAGTAGGCTGTCTGGACAAAGGGGAGGAACCAGCCCACACTCATCAAGCAGCTGAGAGTTTCTGAAGGCAGCAGCAAACTCTCCAGCCGTTGATGGAGTAAAGATTCGGCGTCTGTGAGATGGGGAAACTGGCTTATTGGCAGGTGGGGGGGGGGGCAGCAAAGTCGAAAACAACAGGGATGTGATCTGAGATAGCAGTGTCGACTATTTCTCTGAGGGAAACTGAAAGCCCATGAGAAATGACAAGGTCAAGAGTCGCTGTTCTCACCTGGATTCAACCAGGTCTCTGTCAACAGGAGGAAATTCATATCATGCTCATTCCCCACGAGCAGTAGGAAGCCAGTAATGACAAACAATCAATGTGACAGCCTCCAAATCACATACAAGGAGCTGGAAACATGGACCATAGTAACATCATATCATGAGTATCAACAGCTCACATGTCTAATGAACCTGATAATATAGGTACATGTGTTTGTCCATATGCCATGGTGGCTTCATCCACAAATGTAACCTGCATATGTCATCATCAACCACCATTCTTCTCTCCCGCCTTCAGTCCTCCCTCAACATCACCGGTACTGGCCTCTCCTGGCTAAGCTCATATCTCACAAATAGACAACAGTTCATCAATACCAACAACTGCACCTCCTCCACTGCTCCCCTGTCCCAAGGCCTTTAATTAGGCCCTGTAATGTTTGATTCATTGTTGAGTATTGTAGATATATATCTATATACAGTATATGTATTTTTGTGTGTTGTTTAATTACCTTTTTTTTTGTTACTTATGTGAAATGTCTTTGAGTTCCAAGAAAAGCACTCTATAAATAAAATGTATTATTGTTATGATTTATTAAAATGCAAAGTTTTGCATCAGATATCAGATTTTATTGGGGGAAACTCCACGGCCACACAAATCATAAAAAGAATAATAAATGAGAACAGAACCACATTGGACACACTGTATACACTGTAAAAAAGGACATTTCCAGCACAAACTCAAGCCCTCAAGTTTGTCTGCTGGATTTGTATCGAACCTCCGTCACCGAAAGAAAGACAGAAGACGATACTAGAAGATGTTCACTGACCTGATAGCTATAAACACAAAAATGATTTCTGTCTTATTCTTGGTGCATTTGAGAAATTTGTAGTGTAACACATGTCTAATGTATTCAATAAGCAGGTTTAATACTAGTTTAGGAAAACTTTTATAGTGTGGAAGTTTTATATTGTGTGTGTGTGTGTGTGTGTGTGTGTGTGTGTGTGTAAAGTGTGTATATTGACTCTAATACTGATGACTTCAGCATTGCTTTATAATGTTAATCACATCTGGACTTACAGAGCCTTTCTGCAGTTCCTCACAGCTGGAATCAGTCTCCGTCGTCCCTCATGTGATGTGTTGTACTTCTTCAGGTTCAACTCGTCCAGAACCTCCTCTGACATCTGCAGCATGTAGGCCAGAGCTGAGCAGTGGATGTCAGAGAGTCTCTTCTCTGATCGGTTCTCTGACTTCAGGAACTCTTGGATCTCCTGATGGACTGAGTGGTCGTTCATCTCCGTCAGACAGTGGAAGATGTTGATGCTTCTGTCAGGAGAGATTTCAGCACTGTTCATCTTCTTCAGGTTGTTGATGGCTCTCTGGAGCATTTCTGGACTGTTGTCTGTCTGACCCAGCAGGCCTCCTAAGAGCCTCTGGTTGGATTCCAGAGAGAGGCCATGAAGGAAGCGAACAAACAGGTCCAGGTGGCCATTTTCACTCCTCAGGGATTTCTTCATTGCTTCCCTCAGGAAGACGTCTAGAGTTGGATTAACATATTCTTGTCCCAGGAAACCCTTCAGTACCTCTGTGTTGCTGTTGGTGTAACAGTGGAACATGTAGACTGCAGCCAGAAACTCCTGAATGCTCAGATGAACAAAGCAGTAGACTGTTTTCTGGAAGATCACACTCTCTCTTTTGAAGATCTCGGTACAAACTCCTGAGTACACCGAGGCCTCTGTGACATCAAGACCACACTGCTCCAGGTCTTCTTGGTAGAACATGATGTTTCCTTTCTCCAGCTGTTCAAACGCCAGCCTCCCCAGCTTCAGAAGAACCTTCCTGTCAGCCTCCATCAGCTCCTGTAGACTCGTCTCATGTCCCTCATCATACTTCTGCTTCTTCCTCTTCGTCTGAACCAGCAGGAAGTGTGAGTACATGTCAGTCAGGGTCTTGGGCAGCTCTCCTCTGTGGTCTGTAGTCAGCATGTGGTCCAGAACTGTAGCAGTGATCCAGCAGAAGACTGGGATTAGACACATGATGTGGAGGCTCCTGGAGGTCTTGATGTGTGAGATGATTCTGTTGGACAGATCTTCATCAGTGACTTTCCTCCTGAAGTACTCCTCCTTCTGGGCGTCAGTGAAGCCTCGTACTTCTGTTACCCTGTCAACACATTCAGGAGGGATCTGATTGGCTGCTGCAGGTCTGGAAGTTATCCAGATGAGAGCCAAGGGAAGCAGATTCCCCTTGATGAGGTTTGTCAACAGCACGTTGACTGAAGACTTCTGTGTGAGGTCAGACACAACCTCATTGTTGTGGAAATCCAGTGAAAGTCTGCTTTCATCCAGGCCGTCAAAGATGAACAAAAGTTTACAGACAGTGAGCTGCTCTGCTGTGACCTTCTGTAATGTTGGATGGAAAACATGGAGCAGCCTGAGAAGACTGTACTGCTCATCTTTGATCAGGTTCAGCTCCCTGAACGAAAGTAGAACCACCAGACTAACATCTTGGTTGTTCGAGCCCTCTGCCCAGTCCAGAGTGAACTTCTGCACTGAGAAGGTTTTTCCAACGCCAGCGACGCCGTTCGTCAGAACCACTCTGATGTGTCTCTGTTGGTCAGGTAAGGCTTTAAAAATGTCGTGGCACCTGATTGGAGCGTCATGGAAGGTCTTCTTCTTGGAAGCTGTCTCAAGCTGCCTCACCTCATGTTGGGTATTAACCTCTTCACTCTGTCCCTCTGTGATGTAGAGCTCAGTGTAGATCCTGTTGAGGAGGGTTCCACTTCCTGGTTCATCAGTTCCTTCAGTCACACGTTCACATCTCCTCCTCAGACCGATCTTATGTTCATCTAAAACCTCCTGCAGACCACCATCTGCTGGAAGAGAAGAAGAAATGGGAGACAAAACAAAGAAAAGTTGACTCTTCTGATTATTTTCATTGCGAATAAAAAACCAATATTAGAATATTTCCAGAATTAAAGGTTATAAAGTCCAGTTTTGTGTAAACATCAGAAATGCTCCTTTGTCTCTCAGCCTCTGGCTGTGTGTCGGTGGACTCTCTTCATCAGCTCTTCATCTGAACTGCTCACTGTGGCTGTTCCTTCGTCTCAGGAATGTTTAAACTGATCCACCGACCAAATAATGCAGAATACGTTATTGAATAGTGAATCTGTGTGAGAAATACACTCCATTTCCTGCTTCACAATAAAAGCCTCCCATTGGTTCACTTTCATGTGTAGCAGCAGCAGGAAGTGTTGAGTTTGCATCAGCAGTAAGGTAACAAAGCTCTGACTGATGCTCGTTCACATGGACTCCAACCGAAAGGCAGGACGACAAAACCAAATTCACATCACGATATGTTGCTATGGTGATATTATATTGTTAACAAAGAATGGAATAAAACATATTAAATAAAAGTCCTGAAAGCTGAACACAGAGAGACTTTTAGAAACAGATCTTTCTCTCTGGTCTCCAGCACAGACACATGGGAGTGTTGATCACTTTAGAGACAGACAAGGCTTTTGTTTGAGGGAGGAGGATCTCAGGTTGGCCCCTGTTGACCATGATGCTACCATCAGAACCACAACAGCTAGTTTGTTCCTGCTATGAGGCTGCAGTGGAGATGCACGTGTTCACAGTTTGACACAATGTGGCACAAAGACAAAGTAAGCAAACTGAAAACTGTTGTTTACGAGCTGAGGGCCAACAGTGTAAGTACGTCTCAGGCTGCTGTCTGTCTGTGATAGAACAGTGATGTTACTGCTTTACACAGAGTTTAATAGTTCTCCATCTCCATCTATGCACACAGAGAACAAACAGCATTCTGACTGCTTAATGCAAAGACAGGGGGCGCTATCATAAAACCAACATGTGTCAATATGTTTTCTCAAAGGAGAACAAGGACAAGAATTGTATGCTGGAGCAAAAAAAAACATGTAACTACATTTAAATGTTAAATAAAGGTAAAATAAGGCTAAAATAAAGGTGTTAAATGGCCGTACTGTATGACACAACTAATGTATTAACACATCAGCAGACAGGTATACAGTCTTACTTTGTCTTGTTCTGGGTCTTTCTCCAGACTGGGGACAGGAGGCGTCTCCTGATGAAGCAGACTGGTCCCAGTATGAGGTGATGCACTGTCTGCAGAACCAGAGTCCAGAGCTGGTAGAGACCGGATCCTTCAGGACGTCCCGACACAAAACACAGCAACTCCTCTTCCTCTCTCTGTGAAGACATTTCTTTATAAGTACAATGATTTGTTGACTGTAGTTGAAACATATCAACATGTGTCCACTGACTCTGTGTAGAAGCTCAGATGGTCACAGAGAACAGTAAAAGTCTCGTTACTTTTCTGTTTGAATTCAGCATTCAGTCTGAAATGAAACAATTGTTCCTTTAATTTCAACTCTCCTGCTTTCACAAACACCAATGAACTGCTTTACCTGTTTGTCTCATTAAACATTTAGTGATCAGCCTGTAGTTAGTTATTATTACAAACTCAACACTTCCTGCAGCTGCTTCACAGTAAAAGTCCTCCATTAAAGAGAGCTCATTATGTCTGTTACTGTTTCAGACCTGCCAACCTTGGCTCAATATCAGGCCTGCCCCCTAATAGTCCACTTAACTGTTAGTCGCTGAGAACAATCTTAGTATTTGATGACAAAGTCCTTAAAGAAGCTCTAAATACACAAACTGCTGCTACTGTGGATCATTAGGAGGTTTCAAAGTCAGTATCAGTGCTCTTAGATTAGATTACAGCTTTCCTAGTGACTGACAGCTGTCACAGAGACTGAGAGGAAGATGGACGAGTGATTTCTCTCTGTGTGTCACAACAGTTTAGTTAGTAAATACATTTTAGCAGAAAGTTTAATATATAAACACAAAATCAACAGAAAGCATGCATGAGCAGAGGGAACTGAAAATTAGTCATATAAATGAGTTTGTATCAGTTCTCTTACTTTGAGTCTGAGGGTCCAGGTTCATTACTGAAGGTTAGAGGAAGATCTTTGGACTGGTCACTCTTCATAGACAGACAGCTGGACGCTGCAGACTCTGCTCTGTCCTCCTCTTCCTCCACACAAACACTCATCTTCTGATCTGAAGTCAGTCTGAGAGTTAAACAGTAACACAGACTGTGAGCTCAGAGGACAAGAACCAGGAAACAAGATTGTTCACGAGTCGCACACACACACACACACACACACACACACACACTCTCACACACACACACTCTCACACACACACACACTCTCTCTCTCCTCTCAAAACACACACACACACACACACACACACACACAGTATACAGTATAATAAAGCAGTACAATAATAATAATGGTGTATTAACACTCACTCTGCCTCAGCCTTCAGTTTCCCTCCTCCTGCTCTGTCGACTCAAAATGGAGTCTGACTCTGAACTATCTGAACACCTCTACCTGGATCACATGATCGGTGTTGTTGTTGTTGTCCCCTCTCAATTTACAGGAAGTCAGTGTTTATCTGTGTGTGTGAGTGTGTGTGGTGTGTGTGTGTGTGTGTGTGTGTGTGTGAGTGTGTGTGTGTGTGTGTGTGGTGTGTGTGTGTGTGTGTGTGTGTGTGTGTGTGTGTGTGTGTGTGTGTGTGTGTGTTGAAGGTAACAGCTGGTATTTCCTGTTAACTCTTCTGAGTTTGTAGTTGGTAAAGAGAGAAAGAGAGACAGAAACAAAGATGCACAGCAACAACAATACTAGCAGAAAGAACTAATAATGATGATGATAACAGCCACAACGATGGGGAACAATAATAGTAATAATAACAACAATTATAATAATAATAATAATAATAATAATAATAATAATAATAATAATAATAATTAAAGCTGCAAGCAGCGATGGACGGGACCTCGCACTCCACGGAACTCGGGGTGTGCTGCGGCCGCGTCACGTGCCGTCGTAACACGTGCGGACCACGACATGAAAATCTCACGTAAATCGGCTCAAAATCGCCGCGCAGCACTTACTTCCTGTTACCACTAGGTGGCGTTATAACTATGTGTTCAGGGCGGGACTCTTATCAGACAAGAGAAGTTTGGAGCCGATTGGACAATGTACACTCAAGTTATAGCAAAATTCGTGTTTTGTGGCGATACATAAAAATTTCCTGCCATGCCACAGACACGCCCCCTCACCACAGTCAACACCTGTTGTGTGTGTGACGTGCTACGGTAAGCTGATGACTCATTTCCGGTTTACTTCCTGCTCTGTGTACACTGTTTGGTGCTGTAGCTCTGTCAGTAAACGCTAAATATACATTAGTTTTACTCGTTACAGCGGTTATTTTCCCGCTTAACATTTAAACGTAGACTAGTTCTACTTAAACACTCTGAGTTTCTCCTTCTTTTAGCGACTTTAAGCTACTTTCAAAGTTTTCATACACGCTAGCTTCATTAGCATTAGCAGTTAGCTATGGCTTCTTCCTCTCCCTCTCCTCTGTCCTGCTCAGTGTGTCAGATGTTCAGTTATTCCTCTGCCTCCTTTAATGATAATGGTACCTGTATTAAATGTAGTTTATTTACTGCGCTGGAGGCGAGGCTTAGTGAGTTAGAGGAACGGCACCGCACCACGGAGATATCTTTAGCCGCTATAGTTAGCCAGCCCCCAGTAGCCGGTGCGGTCCGACCGAAGGTAGCTTCTGTTAGCTCTGTAGATCCCCCGGTAGTTCCCGAGCAGCCGGGAAGACAGGGAGGCTGGGTGACTGAGCGAAGGAAGACTAGAACGGCGAAGCCCACAGGTCACCACGAACCGCTTCACGTTTCTAATACATTGTCCCCACTCAGCGATATGACACCCGTTTACGCCAATCGGAGGTCACTAAGATTAATGTGGAGTCGGTGTGTAACTATGCTAAGACAATGTCGGACTCCGTAGTTTTCTCTGGACCCCTCCCCAATGTGACCAGTGATGACATGTATAGCCGCATGTCGTCATTCCACCGCTGGCTGTCGAGGTGGTGTCCAGCAAACGATGTGGGCTTCATTGATAACTGGAAGCCTTTTTGGGGAAAACCTGGTCTGATTAGGAGAGACGGCATCCATCCCACTTTGGATGGAGCGGCTCTCTTATCTAGGAATATGGCGAAGTTTATCTCTAAAACCTGACAGTCCAGAGTTAGGACCAGGAAGCAGAGCTGCTGTCTTACACACTTCTCTGCTCTTTCTTTAGAACAGTCACCCACCCAAAACCCCATAGAGACTGTGTCTGTCCCCCGACCACCTAAATTATTTAAAGAAATAAAAACAAGAGGAGTTCAACATAAAAATCTAATAAAAATTAAAACCAACTCCTCAGTAGCACAAAATAAGAGAATGAAATGTGGACTGTTAAATATCAGGTCTCTGTCCTCTAAAGCTGTTTTAGTGAATGAATTAATATCAGATTATGATATTGATTTACTTTGTCTTACTGAGACCTGGTTGTCCCACGAGGAGTATGTTAGCCTAAATGAATCCACCCCCCCCAGTCATATTAATACTCACATTCCTCGAGGCACTGGCCGAGGAGGTGGAGTAGCAGCCATATATGATTCGAGCGTTTTAATGGACCCTAAACCTAAACTAAAGTATAATTCATTTGAAAGCCTTGTTCTTAGTCTTTCTCACCCAAACTGGAAAACACTGCAGCCAGTTCTATTTGTTATAGTGTACCGCGCTCCTGGACCGTACTCTGATTTTATATCTGAATTCTCAGAGTTTTTATCAAGTTTAGTCCTTAAATCAGATAAAGTAATTATTGTAGGTGATTTTAATATTCATGTGGATGTTGACAATGACAGCCTTAGTAACGCATTTATATCATTAATAGACTCAATTGGCTTCTGTCAGAGTGTAAATAAACCAACTCATTGTTTTAATCACACTCTTGACCTTGTTTTATCATATGGCATTGATATTGAACATTTAATAGTCTTCCCACATACTCCTTTCCTATCTGACCATTATTTAATAACTTTTGAATTCATACTATTAGATTATAACCCATTAGGCAAAACTTCCTACAGCAGATGTCTATCTGACAGTGCTGTAGCTAAATTTAAGGAGGAGATTCCTTCAGTGTTTAATTCAATGCCATGTCTGAATTTAACAGAGTCCTATAACAACTTTAGTCCCTCTGAAATTGATAATCTTGTCGATAGTGCTACAGGCTCACTACGATCAACATTAGACTCTATCACTCCTATAAAAAGGAAATTATTAAAACATAGGAGACTAGCACCTTGGTATAACCACCAAACCCGCCAGTTAAACCAAATAGCTAGGAAATCTGAAAGGAAATGGCGCTCTTCCAAATGATCAGAATATCGCTCAATTTGGCAAGATAATCTTAAAACTTATAGAAAGGCCCTCCGTAATGCCAGAGGAGCCTATTACTCAGCACTAATAGAAGAAAATAAGAATAACCCTAGGTTCCTCTTCAGCACTGTAGCCAGGCTGACAGAGAGTCACAGCTCTATTGAGCCACATATCCCCATAAATGTAAGTAGCAATGACTTCATGAGCTTCTTCTATAATAAAATTATTACTATTAGAGAAAAAATTAATCACCAACTGCCATCAACAGTTATCAGTGGCTCTCCAAGTTCAGGGACTTCTGTCAATGTATATATAGTTAGACTGTTTTTCTGCTATCCATCTTCATCAGTTAACTTCAATCATTTCTTCATCGAAGCCATCAACCTGTCTGTTAGACCCGATCCCAACTAGGCTGCTTAAAGAAGTTGTTCCCTTAAGTGGCACTTCTTTACTGGATATGATTAATTCTTCTTTATTGTCAGGATATGTACCACAGTCCTTTAAAGTAGCTGTAATTAAACCCCTTCTTAAAAAGTCCACTCTTGACCCAGGGGTTTTAGCCAACTATAGACCGATCTCTAACCTCCCCTTCCTCTCTAAGATTCTGGAGAAAGTAGTCGCCAAAGAGTTGTGTGACTTTCTACATAACAATAGTTTATTTGAGGATTTTCAGTCAGGATTTAGAGTTCATCATAGCACAGAGACAGCTCTGGTTAAAGTTAATAATGACCTTCTGACTGCTTCAAATTGGCATTAAAGGAACCGCACTAAGCTGGTTTAAGTCATATTTATCAGATTGCTCGCAGTTTGTACATGTTAACGATGAATCTTCAATAAATACTACAGTTAGTCATGGAGTTCCACAAGGTTCTGTACTTGGACCAATACTGTTTACTTTATATATGCTCCCTTTAGGCAACATTATTAGGAATCACTCCATTAACTTTCACTGTTATGCAGATGATACGCAGTTATATCTATCAATCAAGCCCAATGAAATTAATCAATTATCTAAATTACAAACATGTCTTAAGGACATAAAATCCTGGATGACCTGCAATTTTCTGATGTAAAACTCAGAAAAAAACGAAATTCTTGTTCTTGGCCCCAAAAACCTTAGAGACTCACTGTCTAAAGATATAGTTACTCTAGATGGCATTAACTTGGCCTCTAGCACCACTGTCAGGAATCTTGGAGTTATCTTTGATCAGGATTTGTCATTTAACTCCCACATAAAGCAGACCTCTAGGACTGCCTTCTTTCATTTACGTAATATTAGAAAAATTAGACACATCCTGTCACAGACAGATGCAGAAAAACTAATCCATGCATTTGTTACTTCAAGGCTGGATTACTGCAACTCTTTATTATCAGGTTGCCCCAATAAGTCCATTAAAACGCTCCAATTAATTCAGAACGCTGCAGCACGAGTACTGACAGGAACTAGAAAAAGAGATCACATCTCTCCTGTACTAGCTTCTCTGCATTGGCTCCCTGTAAAATGTAGAATAGAATTTAAAATCCTCTTCCTCACCTATAAAGCTCTTCATGGTCAGGCCCCTTCATATCTTAAAGAGCTCATAGTACCCTATTACCCCACTAGAACACTACGTTCTCTGAATGCTGGGCTACTTGTGGTTCCTATAGTCTCTAAAAGTGGAACAGGAGCCAGAGCCTTCAGTTACCAAGCTCCTCTCCTGTGGAACCAGCTTCCAGTTGTGGTTCGGGAGGCAGACACCCTCACCACATTCAAGAGTAGGCTTAAGACATTCCTCTTTGATAAAGCTTATAGTTAGGGCTGGATCAGGTGAGTCCTGAACCATCCCTTAGTTATGCTGCTATAGGCCTAGGCTATCGGGGGATTTCCCATGGTGCACTGAGCTCCTCCCTTCCTCTCTCTTTCTGCACTCATTCATGTCCCATTAATGCATGTTACCAACTTCACTTCTTTCCTGGAGTTCTTGTGCTTTCTCGTCTCGCAGGTTCTTGTCGATCCTGGTGGAGCCTCCTGCCATGGTCCTGCTAGATTGCCATTGCCAATACTGTTGTTGCTGTGCACCTGTCTGTCTATCTCTAGCTCTCTCTCTCTCTGCCTCTCTCTCTCTCTCTCTCTCTCTCTCTCTCTCTCTCTCTCACCCCAACTGGTCGAGACAGACGACCACCCACCTAGAGCCGGAGGATCTGTCCTAGGTTTCTGCCTTTTAACAGGCAGTTTTTCCTTGCCCTTGTCGCCAAGTGCTTGCTCATGGTGGTACTGTTGGGTCTCTGTAATTTATGTGTTAAAGAGTTCGGTCTAGACCTGCTCTATTTGAAAAGCGTCCTGAGATAACTTCTGTTATGAATTGGCGCTATACAAATAAAATTGAATTGAATTGAATTGAATATCATCAACAATGTGTTTTGCATTTTATAAGTACATTTCAGCTGGATCTGATCATCCTGCTAGGAGTAGAACATGAAAGTATAAAACTTGATACATCCTGTTGCCACAAGGTGGCGCTATCACTATGTCAGAATATTGTCATGTAGATGTGTTCAGGGCGGGACTGTTATCAGACAAGTGAAGTGTGGAGCCGATTGGACAATGTACACTCAAGTTATAGCGAATTCTTGTTTTGTGGCGGTACATCAAAAGTTCCCAGCCACGCCCACTCACCACATTCATCACATATCATCAACAATGTGTTTTGCATTTCAGTAAGTAAATTTAAGTAAATTTCAACTGGATCTGATCATCCTGCTAGGAGTAGAACATGGAAGTATAAAAAAATGACATTTCGTTTCACCACTAGGTGGCGCTCTCACTTTTACTGAATATCATCACATAGACATGTTCAGGGCGGGACTCTTATCAAACATGTGAAGTTTCGTTGCAGTCGGATCATGTCCTCAGAAGTTAAGACGAATCCCTCTCTCATGGCGAAGGTTTGAAATTGGATGCCACGGGACACCACAGGCACAATGTTCCACAAAAAAAACTGACTGCACCTGTAAACCTGTACGAGGAGTTAGTTAAAATAGAAGCCCTGAAATGCCAAAAATGACATCACAGTGTGACATTCGTTCAAAATGGCCAACTTTGACGGCACGCCACGGACACGCCCTTCAACGTACAGTCAAAAAATGAACAGCGTTCATTCAGCACCATGTTTGGCTGTACTGACCAATTTTGAAGCAGACCCAGAAATTCCCTAAGAGGAGTTCGTCCAAATACAAGCCCAAAAAGTCAGAATGACCACAAAATGGACACCGTGAGTGTTAATTAAAAATTGAAATTGCAGACTTCCTGTGGGTTTTGGGGCATGGGTCCAAGAGGCTTTTCTGCTTCTTTTATCATAATACACATGCGTACATGTGGGCCTTACGTGTCTTGGGGGCTGATTCTGGGGGGCGTGGCTTAGCCGTTTGGCGGCGCCCGTGCACGGGGACAATGTCATATCGGTTTTTTTGCTATGTTTGAATTTTGTGCAAATTTTCATGACTTTTTGAGCATGTTGCGGGGGCCAAATATGCGGTCGTACTGGCAGAAAAATAATAATAATTCCTAGAAGAACAAAAGGGTCCTTGCACTTGTTAGTGCTTGGTCCCTAATAATAATAATAACATGATGAATTATCCGATGACAAAGTCCTTAAAGAAGCTCTAACTACACAAACTGCTGCTGTCAATAATTCATGGTTTAAAGGTTCCTGTTAGTCCTCAGATTGATCAGTATCAGAATCAGAAATACTTTATTGATCCCCAGAGGGAAATCTGATGTGAGGTAGCCTCAGTGTGATCACATGATCCCTGGAGTAAAATAAAGCGTCCATGCAGTTGCTGCACAACGTTGGCTCAACTGAATTGAAGGAGGAATTTCACAGTGACAAACCAGAGCACCACTCTCTCTACGAACATTTTTACAGAGTGCAGCTTCAATAAAACAATGGGAAACAAAAAAAGACTTGATCTGATAATAAAGGCTCATCATCATCATCATCATAACCATCATCATCATCATCATCATCATCGCCATCACCATCACCATCATCATCATCATCATCATATGAATCCTTGATAAATTATTTGATGACTAAGTTATTCAAGAAGCTCTTAATACACTGTCTTCATTCATTCATTCATTCATTCACCTGTTGTTAGAAAAATCGACATTGGTTCAACAAAACTGTGAAACCTCAAAGAACTGGGACTGGAGCCCCACAGCTTTATTGAAGGAGTTGGTGAGTGAAATCTCACTTCAGGAATTGTGGAATAGCTAAATAGGCTTCCTCACTCTCAGCAGTATTTTCTATAACCGATGCTGCACTACTGGGGGTGAATACGATGGACTTGCTGCTGAATACTGGTGAGCCATGATGGTTTTAATCTTACTGTGGAAGATGTTATGGTGTGTGCATATGGAGAGGAAAATGCTCATGATTTATCCCCACACCTGTTTACCTAACCAGGTCAGGTTTCTCTGGAGCAACGAACTGGATGGCGAGCTAGAGGAAGGAACCCCAACAGGAAAACTAACTGGAGAAGAAACCACCTCATTGTAGTCAGGCCTCAAGCCTCAGCCCCTTTCAAACTGGTGTGGTAGGACTGTGCACTATGCCAATTCACCACAACAACTTTTAGTGAAACAAGAATGAATGAACGTTGTTCTTAATGCACATTATCAACATTTATGACAATTAACACAATTGCTATAATGGTTGCACCATTGTCACTTTAAAGTTACTTGTGCTGGTAATCCCTTCACTGTGTATTAAGCTACAGGCTTTGAGGGGAACGTGCACTTTATGTTCATGTTGATATTGATGAATTTATAGAAATGAATCAAGTGAGATGGATTAAATGTAGAAACGGACTAATTGAGTATCGGCTGCTCTAACACTTTAAAGGTCCACCATAAGTGCTACTACTGGATTAAAATATACTGAACTTTGTACTATTGTAGCATTTCTTCTTTTTCTTGAAAGGCTTTAATTTATATTTACTTAGAGTATTTTTTCCCTCGATGTATATGAAGATAACTGTTAGTCGCTGAGAACAATCTTAGTATTTGATGACAAAGTCCTTAAAGAAGCTCTAAATACACAAACTGCTGCTACTGTGGATCATTAGGAGGTTTCAAAGTCAGTATCAGTGCTCTTAGATTAGATTACAGCTTTCCTAGTGATTGACAGCTGTCACAGAGACTGAGAGGAAGATGGACGAGTGATTTCTCTTTGTGTGTCACAACAGTTTAGTTAGTAAATACATTTTAGCAGAAAGTTTAATATATAAACACATAATCAACAGAAAGCATGCATGAGCAGAGGGAACTGAAAATGAGTCATATAAATGAGTTTGTATCAGTTCTCTTACTTTGAGTCTGAGGGTCCAGGTTCATTACTGAACAATGGAGGTCTATCTCTGGACCAGTCACTCTTCATAGACAGACAGCTGGACGCTGCAGACTCTGCTCTGTCCTCCTCTTCCTCCACACAAACACTCATCTTCTGATCTGAAGTCAGTCTGAGAGTTAAACAGTAACACAGACTGTGAGCTCAGAGGACAAGAACCAGGAAACAAGATTGTTCACGAGTCGCACACACACACACACACACACACACACACACACACACACACACACACACACACACACACACACACACACACACACACACACACACACACACACACACACACACACACACACACACACACACACACACACTCTCAAACACACACACACTCACACACACACACACACACACACACACACACACACACACACACACACAGTATAATAAAGCAGTACAATAATAATAATGGTGTATTAACACTCACTCTGCCTCAGCCTTCAGTTTCCCTCCTCCTGCTCTGTCGACTCAAAATGGAGTCTGACTGAACTACCTGAATACCTTCACTTTCAGGTTCCCTTCCTGTTCTCATGAGTCAGTGTTGCTTCTCCCCTCTACAAATCAGTGTTTATCTGTGTGTGTGTGTGTGTGTGTGTGTGTGTGTGCATATAGCAGTGTTAAAATACTTTCATGCTTTAAACTACAAGGTACATAATGATTTGAGAGCAGGTGTTTCCTACCAGCTGTCCTCTGTCTTTGTAATCCTTATTTGGTAACACTTTATGAGTACACACTATTAAGCATTAGTTAAGCATTAATAAATACTGAATTCATCATTTATAAAGCATGTTTCTGCCGTAAATACTCATTACTATGTGGTTTATAATCACAGTTATAAATGTTTTACTCTTCATTAATAAGCTCATCTATAACATGCTAATGATTGCATTTTCATATTTTATATATATAATGGATTCCACATTTCTAAATCAAATATTACATCACTTACTAACCAGTTATTTAGGATTTGTCAGTGGTTTGTAATATCATTTAGAAAGTATATGTAAATGATGAACAAACTATTTAGATGTACATTTCTGCATGCACTTGCACATCCACTATTCAGACATTTAATGATTAGTGACTATAACTGCCATAAATATCATTTGCAATCATTTCAGTTTTTGTTTACATATATTATGTATGTGGTTTATTTTGTGAATATTTATTTGTATTGTGCACTGGGTAGGATATAATGTTTGTTGCCTGTTGTGCAAGGGACGCAGTTAATGCGGGAATCTACATGAAGAGAAAGATTACAAGAAGAAGTTTATGCTGTTTTAAGTTGTTTAAAGTGTTTCAAGGTGATCTTTGTATTTCCTGCTTGCACACTAACTGAACATTTTGTGAGTCTTGAGGCATTGCCAGCCTTTAAATCTTATTTGTAAATGCTTTATAAGCCATAGATAGTGCTCACTTTAGATGACACAAAATACTTAATTAGTAGTAGTAATGAGTAGTAAGTGCTTCGTAACTGCCTCAATTCATGAATTCCTGCATTAATAACTGTTTATAGGACATCCATTGGAAATGGAATTTGTGAGTTTTTTATGGAACATCTGCTAACACAGTCACTAATCATTAATACATGTCTGAATAGTGGATGTGCAAGCGCATGCAGAAATGTACATCTAAATAGTTTGTTCATCATTTACATAAACTTTCTAAATGATATTACAAACCACTGACAAATCCTAAATAACTGGTTACTAAGTGATGTAATACTTGATTTAGAAATGCTGAATCCATCATATATAAAATATGAAAATGCTGGGCACCCAGATAGCTCAGTGGGTAGAGCTGGCGACCCGTGTACCGACTTCTTGTTGCAGAGGCCCAGGGTTTGAATCTGACCTGTTGCCCTTTGCCTGACCCTTTGCCACATGTCATCCCCTCTCTCTCTGCCCCCATTTCCTGTCCATCGTCAGCTGTCACTACAATAAAGGCAATAAAACCCCCAAAAATATACTTAAAAAAAATAAATAAATGAAAATGCAATCATTAGCACGTTATAGATGAGCTTATTAATGAAGAGTAAAACATTTATAACTGTGATTATAAACTACATAGTAATGAGTATTTACGGCAGAAACATTCTTTATAAATGATGAATTCAGTATTTACTAATCCATAACTAATGTGCTTATCAATGATGAATAAAACATTTTTAACTGTGTTTATAAACTACATACTAATGTGTATTCATGTCAGAAAAATGCGTTATAAATGATGAATTCAGTATTTATTAATACTTAACTAATGCTTAATAGTGTGTACTCTTAAGACTGCCTTGGTATTTTGGTAGAAACGGGCTGAAAGAGGAAGATTTTCATATGAAGTCTGGCACGAAGTCTCCTTTTATATCAGCTGAATAAACTGTAAGACTACATTCATTTGTTTGACATCTTATATTAAACTCTTGTGGACTCTTGTTGTTTTAAAGTGGACGATTTTTAAATGAAGTCTGGCATGAAGTCTCTTCCATAGAACACATAGAGGTGTAAACTGTCCTTAAGCCTGGTAAATGTTTGTTTTCCTTGCATGCAGTGAAACTCACAGCCATCGCAACATAGGTATTACAGTACAAACACATTATATTATTATTATTAGTGCTGCTATTGCCCAAGAGGCAGTAGCAGGGCCCTCTGCACAATACCACAGCCTCTTTCCAGTTGGGTTGCAGAGGAAATGAAAGCCCGGGAGTGAGAGCAACCATCAGAAATGCCCGGGAGTGAGGAAAACTGAGGAAAATGGTAAATTCAACTGGTTTTGTGGACTGGTCATAGGACATTATTTCCCCTTTTAGCCCTGTTTGCCTCCCCATGAAAATTCCAAATCTGGCGGCATTTTGAGGCATCATCTTGCTGTTGACCCCCCCACCTCAAGCTGTCATGGCTGACGTACAATGGTTTGAAACTGGGACCCCACTGATGTTCCACAAAGAACACCAGTGAGCCAGTGTTTTCCCACCGCTGCAGCTGCAGGCTGTAAAAGCTGCCACCCACTTTGACCCATGTCTTTGGGTCCAGTGTTGAATTGCAGAAAAAACTTCTCATTTTGCAACAGGAGTTTTGTTTTCTACAAAGAAGGATGAGAGCCCACTACTTCCAGAACGAACAGAGTAAGCCCCCTTTTCAGCATCTAGTGCTATCAAGCTGTTGATTATATTGTTCCCTTATAAATGACACATTAGATATTAAACTGATACGAACACTTGATCTTAACTAAAAGTCAGTGGAGCAATGAGCCCTAGAGTTAAGCTGCCCAAGTCCACCTCCTGGGACAGTTCTCCCCTACCGTGGTGAGGTCTTTTTGACTTCACATAACAAAAGCGTCTGCTTAGCAACTCTGCCCCATGGTTCCTCCCTCCTGACTTAACCATGAAAAAAACTTGGGGAGGCTCAGAGGCTCAGTGGTTATCACTGTCGCCTCACAGCAGCCTTTCTGAGTGGAGTTTGCATGCTCTCCCAGAGTCTGTGTGAGTTTCCCCCACCATCAAAACATGGATGTTAGCTGAAGTCTCCAGTCAGTGCCCTTGACCAAGACACTAGCTCAGATCTGGAACTGGTCCCCAGGTGCTGCACGGTGACTGTTTCCTGCTCCTAGTACTTGGATGGAGGTCAAATGCACAGATTGAATGTGCTGACCCCTGCAGATTCCCCAGATGAGGGAATCTTGACTGTATAATTTCTGGTGGTGGGAGGCTGCGTTGGAGCCTTTAGCTGTTATAGATTTGAACGCAGCAACTTCTAAGCCTGCGTGGTTGTGGGAATGTTCAGGCCTTTGGTAACTTTGGTAGTTTGTCCAGAAGGTGGCATTGTTGCTGTGCAGCAGGGTCCGGTGTAGAGAGGCAGTAGTGCATGCTACTGCCCCAGAGGCAGCTCTGTAAAGATGTGGGCACAACAGTCTCTGACTTCCTGTCCCATTTGGGCAAGATCAGACTTTAACCAGGAGCAGCCTAAAGTCCTGCAGAGGCCGTTAACCTCTGAGCATTAACAGAATAATGGCTCAGCCCCCCTCATTTCATTTTCTATGAATTATATTCTCTTGTATGTTGTTCTTTCTCCTCTTAAGTCATTTCCCGAAACTCCTTCTTCATATTGTCATTTTGTCTTCCTGCCTCCTCCTTCTTCATCTTGTAGTTTTCTTCTCCTAATCAAGGTCCTTCATTTAATCTTTTTCTCCTCCTCCCACTGCTCCTCCTGCTCCATTGGGTCATTTTTTCAACCACCTCCTCCTTCTTCATTTTATCTACTTCTCCTCCACTTACACCACATCCTTAATGTAAATACCTTCTCCTCTTCCTCCTTCATGTTTTCATTTTCTCCTCCAGTCATCATTATTTAATCTGCATCCTCTCCCATCATGTCTTCATTCTCCTTCCTGTTATCTCCTCCTCCTCCTCCTCAGTAATGAAGCCACTAAAGTCTCATTGTTGTTCTCTTTGTTTGTAATAAATCTCCCGCGCGCCTCCTCCTCTCTGACTCACACTGACTAAAGGAGACAAAAGAGAATGAAAGACGTTGTTGAGTCACTTTGGAGGTTTCAAAGATTAAAGAGCTCAAACTGTCTGAAACCAATTGATTCTTTTTTTCTCATCAGAAACCAGTTTGAATCCGAGCTGGACCACGTTCAGACAGTTTTACACTTTGTCAGTCACACAAAATAATTGGACTTCAGTTCATTATAATTATTGGTACTGAAATCCAGTTCAGCTTTGAAGAATTATGGCCATCAGGCCACATCTTTAAAAGTTTAGTAACCAAATGCAGACAAACAATAACAGATACCAAACCCAAACCTATAAGTCCTGTCCGGCTTCATCTAAATATGCTATGTACTGATTTTGGTGAAGATTAGATTAAATTTGTGGCAAAAGAAGCAAAAAAATCTTTACTAAAAATGTTAAAATTACAGAATGTTATTAAGGCGTGAATGGGAGTGGGCTATATCGATAACATTGGCATCATTCAAGTAACCCAGTGTACAAAACTGTTTATCGACCACATGGTGGCGTAATTCATAAAAAAGATCACACATCATTCTGCTAGTATCGGGTCGAAACGTGACTTTTGGTATCCAAAGAATGTTTGTGTGGATTTTGTTTGTATTTGAATGAAGATTTGTAGAGATGTAGATGTTAGATACTGAAAAAGACTAAATACACAAAGAAGTGATAAACCAAGGAAACACAGGTGAACCTACACAGGGCGGGAAAACAATGAGAGCTGGAGGGAAAGCTGCATACTCTTATTCTGAAGGTATTAAACTTGTTTTCTGAAGTTTATGGAGACATGTGCAGCAGTGAACTCCTCTCCTGCACGCTGTGAGCTGCAAATCTTATAGACTCACATAAAGAAGACATCAGACTTTAAAATACTTTTCCTTAGTTTTTATTTAGTTTTCAAAGAATGCACAACACAGAGAGAACAGGTGTAGATTTATATCCAACTCTTAATGTGAAGGAGCTGCTGAAAAACACCATGAAACATTTATTAAGCAGATCCTTCTGATAAAGCCTCATTCAGACAAGTTTTAAACTGTGGATCTCAGTCACTTTGAAAATAAGGTCCATGTTGAAAAATACTTAAAGTTACTCTTCAAAGTCAGCAGGGGCTACAGTAAGTACTGTTATTCTCTTTACAGCTATTTTAAGCTTAGATTCATTCACATTTTGTCAAATTGTCTCCATTAAAAATATGCTGAATTAGCTGCTAGCAGCTCCTGTTAGCCGTGAACCTTTGGATGTACTGACACTTATTAGTGGAAGATTAAAGATTCTCAGGCTCAAGTTCTCCGTTATAAGGAGCTTCTTTTCTGTGATTTCTAAGTGGATTTTTGGTCTTTTATTCTGTATGGACATCTAAATTATATAATATGTGTTTCATGTCTGTGTGTTCACATTTGACTCAGTTATGACTCTGAGAAGGAGTTTTGACTCTAATTAACATCCCTGCAGTATCCAGAGTTAAAATGGGTAAAGAGTTATTCATTTTAACTTGTGGTGTCTAAATGAGGCTTCAATCATCATGTTTTCGGGACATAACAGCTGATGACAGGATCCAAACTCTATCCAGTGTAGGGAAACCTGAGGAGCGCAGCCTGTCCGGGGCCGAGCCGGAGGTATGTCAGATCCACACTTTTGTCGGCAGGCAGGGCGCTGCTGTTGGTGCTGTGGACGACCACAGCATGCCGGGGCAGCAGCACGTCTGTTAACTGCAGCACCGCCGCCTCCTCCGCCCAGTTGAAGGCGGCCAGGTAACGCTCGCTCTGATCCCAGAGCCGCAGGTACGCCAGGGAGGAAGAGGAGGAGTTAGTGAGGAGGAAGAAGTCACCGAACAGCAGGGAGCGCTCTTTACCACGAAGCTCGCTCAGACTGCGGAAAAAACTGCGACAGGACAACCGCTCGGCTCTCTCCTCCTGAACGCACAGAGGAGAGGATCAATACAGTGTTAACAGTAACAATATATATTATATATATATAATGCTATACCATATGTACTACTATATGTACACGCAGTAACAAGAAGTATCTCAGTAGTTTATGGATGATGTCTGTTTACCTGCAGAGTCCCATTCAGCTCCTCATCAGAGTCCCAAAGCATCCTGGGAAACTTGGTGCCCTTTGACAGAGAGGATCAAATGTGAAGATCATTTAGGGAGGATCTACCCTAGAATACAGTTTTATTTTTTATCATTTTATTTTTTATTGTGCTTAGATACAGTGGTGGAGTGTAAGTACATTTACTCAAGTACTGCACTGAAGGACTATATTATTATTTTATTATTATAATTTAGTACTTCAGTACAGTTATTCTATAATACTATAAGAGAGTATTTCCATTTCCTTCTCATTTAACACTCACTAGTTACTCAGTTGGGGCCCACAGTCACTTAATCCAGCCCTCCTGGGTGGGGGGTTAATGTGGTTGTCATTTACTTTTTATGTGTTGTTTTATATTTAACTTGAATCAAATTTATTGTTGTTGGTCTTCACTGTGTGTAGGAGTCTGTTGGCGCCATCTAGTGGTTGTATTAAGAGTGATGCAGGGAGCAATCTATTTTTGTATTTTTTTTCCCATATCGTTGGAAAGATGCTGAAAACATCCAAACTTTAATAAGTGTAAAATATAAAATCTGTCTCTGAGGATTTATGGGGACTCACCTCGTCCATCAAGCCGATCTCGTCTCCGTAGTTGATGACGGGCGTCCCGGGCAGCGTGAGCAGCAGCAGCTGGTGTTGTTTGACCTGAGCCGGACCCACCAGCGACGCCAGATGACCCTCGGCCCTCCCCCCCAGGCTCCAGGCCAGCTTGGTCTGGATGTGGGACGAATACAGGAGCTGGACGGACTGAGCGTGGTCCTTGTTGTTGTGGAGGAGGACCCTAGAGATCAGCAGGTCGACGCCAGTGGAGTTGAGGAGGGCGGACACGTCTTCAGCGGAGGAGCGCTCTGTGACACCAATCAGGACTCTGGAAAACAAATTCATGAAATCCTGATTTTAGGTCATTGTTGACTCACAGGTTTGAGAGGTTTGATGAGCTGTGGACCTGGTCCCAGTTAAGAGTTGGATAGTTTGGTTTCTAACCTCTTTTTGGGACTTGTCCCATTCTGTATGATGGCTCGAATGTCGGTCCACAGAGAAGGCACCACACCGGCCACCCGCTCCACCCCCGACAACTGCACGCCATCCACGCCTTCATTCAGCCAGAACACCAGAGCAGACTGAGGACAGAGACAGCAGTCAGACACCACAACAGCGCCCTCTGCTGTCGGCTCAGGTTTTTGATGGTGAAACTTGAAGTGCAACTCGTTATAAAGATTTAATTCACTCCTGTAATTATTTGTTTTATGTCTATTTATGGTGAAATCATGTTCTGCAACATTTCCCATGATGCTTTTGGGGGATGTAAACAGTAAGTCTTTAGTTCACCATGTCACATTTCTCTGTTTGTTAGAGCAGAGATTTTTTCTGTTATTGTGGTTATGGAAATATAACAATCATTTATTTTCAAAAACGTTTGACTTTTGGACTTTTAAATGGTCTGAGTGTTTGGAACTGTTTGGATCATATAAGTCAGAAATAACACCTGCACACACCTGTCCAGCTCACACAGTATCTCTGCCTCACCTCTCTGCCTCCACAACCCTCTGGCTTCCATACTTCCAGCTGTACTGTACTTCCTGTTTGTGAGTGCCAGTATTCACCTTCAGTCTCTCAGCTACGTTGGTCACACTGATGTTGGAGAACCAGGGTCCAGATGATCCCTGGTAGTTTGGAGTCAGATCCAGAACAACAGAAATACCTGCACAAACAGTGTGAGACACATGAGAACTTAATGTGTACATTTATTTCAGTTAAGCAGTTTCAGCTTAAAAATCACTGCTTCTCCCACGCTGTTGGACAGACAAAGAACGTCCCGGAGGGGCTGCGAGCCGAGCTGCTGCTAACGTTAGCTCAGCTTGTTTCTCTGATAACTTAAGATCCAGACGTCCGGTGACTAAAATCCTTCATCTGGTTCAAATCTAGAGTTAAAAAGCACCAAGATCTAAACAGTGGATGGTAACAATGTGGCTTCAGATAATAGACATGCTTTATGTGTCCATGAACATTCTGACTCACCCTTCTTGTGAGCGACCTGGACGAGGCTTTTAAACTGCTCCAGGTTTCCGGCCTCAGGGGAAATCTCCTCGAACCTCAGGCTCATGGCTTCGTCTGCCGGAGCGACGTGGATCGGTCCGACCACTAGACCTTGAACCTTCAGCTGAGACAGGCTGCCCACCTTCTGCTCCAGGCCTGAGGGGGAGGAGGACACATCAGCTGTGACGGAGCCCAAAACCTTATCTGATGTTTCCTCCTGATTATAATGGCCAGTTTTCAAATGTCAAAGTCCAATTCAGCAGTCGATCCTCTTTATGTTCACATGTGGACAGAAAACCTCAGGAACATGTTCAGCTTTCTAACAGGAATAAACCAAACAGAAACACTGAGGAAGAGTATTTAACCTGAAGCTGAAGCCGTCCTCAGCTCTCAGTCAGCATTTATTCATTCAAATTTAAATGTCAGCAGACATGTAGTCGGCAGTATTACTCACACAGTGATTTAGGTGAAGGGTGTATTTCAGTAAAACTACCCTGCTTGAATCTACTTGGTCCATACGTTTCCCTGATAAAAGTGATATTTATCTTAAATGAATACAAATTTTAAGTCTGCTTTAGACTTGCTGTGATATACATATGTTGAAACTAATCTCCCAGAATGCCGTGTGAGTGCTGCTCTCACCCTTCAGGTTGCGGCCATCAGTGAAGGCCTGGACGTTTCCAATCTGGTACAGCGGGCCGTTGTTCCACCAGTTGGTGGCGGGTAGGTCTCTGCAGCGAGGAGCTTGCAGGATGATGAGGACGGCTCCGACCAACATCCCCAACCAGCCGAGCCAGAACACCACCAGCAACGCCCAGCGGGTCCGCACCCAGCTGAGGAGACATTAGGACGATAAGGACATGAACAGATCTGATAGTCATTCATTATTATTACTGATAATAACTTGGCTCCCGGTAGAAACCTCCTGAACCATGAACACTGAAGGAACAGCTTCACCACCTCACCATACCTCCTCTTTTCTTATTGTTTGGACGTGAGAGACCCAAACATACGAATGACCCTATCTAGCACCAGTGATTAGTCGGAGCCTATATTCCCCACCCACAGGAGTAACAGATTCTCTCTGTTATGCCAACAGTAAACCTTGGATCACTAAGGACATTAAGGCCATCCTGAATGAGAAGAAGAGGGCGTTCAGAGATGGCAACCGTGATGAGGTGAGGAGAGTGCAGGGGGTACTCAAACTCAAAATCAGGGAGGCAAAAGACAAGTATAGGAGAAAGCTGGAGAAAAAACTCCAGCGAAACAACATGAGGGATGTGTGGAGTGGCATGAGAACCATCACTGGGTTCCAGAAGACTGGTGGCATGGGGTTGGAGGGCCATGTCGACCGGGCCAATGAACTGAACCTATTTTTCAATAGGTTTGATACTGCGGCCCATCCCCCACAAGTCTCTGCTGCTGGCTACCCAACAACTGCCACTTTATCTCCCCACCTCAATTCACACCCACCTACTTCCCCCCCCCGCTCTACATCATGTCCTCCACAACCTGAGGACCTCACCCCTCCCCCCACTGTCACCTCTACAGTGCCCTTCACGCCTGACCTGGTGAGAAGACAGCTGAAAAGACTCCACTCCGCTGCAGGCCCCGATGGTGTATTTCCCAGGGTGCCTAAAGTCTGTGCCCCCCAGCTGTGTGGAGTACTTAGCCAAGTCTTCAGCCTGAGCCTGCACCTCCAGAGAGTCCCCATGCTGTGGAAGACTTCCTGCCTCGTTCCTGTGCCAAAGACGCCGCGTCCCAGCGGCCCTCAGGACTATAGACCGGTGGCTCTGATGTCCCACATTATGAAGACCCTGGAGAGGCTCGTCCTGGAGCAGCTAAGGCCTATGGTCAGGCGCTTCACCGATCCACTGCAGTTCGCCTACCAGCCCCGCCTGGGAGTTGAGGACAGCATCATCTACCTGCTGAACAGAGTCTACACTCATCTGGATAAGCCGGCGAGCACTGTGAGAGTCATGTTCTTTGATTTCTCCAGTGCTTTCAATACCATCCGTCCGGCTCTACTGGGTGAGAAGATGGCTGCGATGCAGGTGGAGGCCCCCATCGTGTCCTGGATTGTTGATTACCTGACGGGCAGACCACAGTACGTACGCCTACAGGACTGTGTGTCTGACAGGGTGGTCAGCAACACTGGGGCCTCACAGGGGACTGTCCTCTCTCCCTTCCTCTTCACCCTCTTCACCTCAGACTTCAACTATTGCACCGAGTCCTGCAACCTTCAGAAGTTTTCTGATGACTCAGCAATAGTTGGCTGCATAGATAAGGGTGATGACAGTGAATATAGGACTGTGGTGGGCAACTTTGTCACTTGGACTGAGCTGAATCATCTGCAGCTCAATGTGACAAAGACTAAGGAGCTCATAGTGGATCTGAGGAGGGCAAAAACACCAGTGACCCCTGTTTCCATCCAGGGGGTCCCTGTGGACACTGTAGAGGAGTATAAGTACCTGGGGGTGTACTTTAATAATAAGCTGGACTGGACTAGAAACACTGAGGCTGTCTACAAAAAGGGCCAAAGCATTGTACTAATGTACTTCAGTAAGTTGCTCTCCACCGCTGGTTGTTCTAAATCTTTACTGTAATTGTACATCGGTTACAAATATCTCTTATTGGTTTCCTTGATTACTGATAATCGCTATCATGATCAGACCTGAAAAAAAAAACATATCAGTCAACTCCAAGAACCAAATGTCCACACTCTCCTGAAATGTGAATATTTTCAGGTTCCTTTGGACAGTTAATTGAATATGTTTAGTGACATTAGAAGACGTCACCTTCATCAACATTTCTCACTATTTTCTGACATTTTATGGCCCAAACAACTAATGGATTAATGGAGAAGAGGATGGACAGATGAATGGATAATGGAAGAAGGTCAGTATGGTGTCAGTGTGATTGCTGATTCCAATATTAAATGTCTGTGTTTGTACAGAGCCACACCCCGTCAGAGCTGATCTCAGGTCTGCAGTGAAATAACACTGACTGTGTGTGTGTGTCTGTGTGTGTGTGTACAGTGTGTATCCGGGCCTCACCCCGGGGTCCCGGCCACTCTCAGCAGCTCCTCTTTGTTCAGCCCGGTGAATTTCACCTCCTCCGCCTCCTCGGGCATCTTCAGCTTCACGGAGCCGTTTTTCTCCGCCGCCGCAGCCGCTTCTCCGCCGGCAGACGGAGCATCCTCGGCCCGGTCTTCTCCTCCGGTCATCGGCTGCTTCTCCTGCTCCTCCTGGTCCAGATCCGCTTCGCTCACATCGGCCTCCGTCGCGTCAGCATCCGCGGCGACCGGAGCGGGATCCGCAGCCTCCTTCGGCTCCGCATCTTTGGTCTCAGCATCCTTCAGCTCCACGTTCGTCTCCTCCGCGTTCATACCGGCGACGATCCGTCGATGTACCGTCAATCAATCCAATGAAAGAGAGAGTGTGTGTGTGTGTGTGAGAACAGCGCTGTCTGTACTGCCTGCCTGCCTGTCTGTCTGTCTGTCTGTCTGTCGGTCTGTCTGTCTGCGGGCTCACTGCAACCGTGCGGCTGATGCTGCTTTCAATGCTGTCGGAAATATGGTAATTAAACTGTCCTCACAGTCTAATCTCAGTGTTATTCAGATCCTTGTTTCAGTCCTTCACTTTATGTCTCTGTTGTTTATATGTTCAGTCCTTTGAGCTTTGATTTGATTTGCTTCTTCTTTCTGGATTATAGTTTATAGATTATAGTCAGGTTTATAGTCCCAAAATGTAGAAGAAAGTGTAATAAAAGCAGCTTCGTTCCAGCAGCTGTCATTTACATTAACCAACTTTTTATTATTTATGTTTATTCCAGTGGTTATTCATTGATCTTTATGTGTAAATCCTTATTTACTGATCCTGGAGCACTTTTATCTTTAATCTTTATCCTTTATGGTTTATCATTTATCATGTTTGTATCATGTTTGTCTGAGTGGTTTGTTGTTTTTATATTTTTGTCAAGAGGAATTAATTGCAAACCAAATCTACAAAATAATTAAGTAGTCGCTCTCCATAGGGGCAACTTGGAACCAAAGACCAGGCAATAAGATGGGCCAGTCAAGTACCCTGCTAAAGCATTATATTTTATCCAGTTTGATAAATACAAACAGCAATGTAGTTTACAGTTAAACACATAAGAAGTATCATGCTTTTCCTCTCCATGGCTCAAATAAAAAGCTCTCTCAAGCTTAACCAATTTGCCAAATAAAACTTTAGCATTCTTATCCACTGCTATGCTACACTGAAGAGTAAAATGGCTAAACTACGCTGCTAAATATGACTAGCCTTAACTGTGTTTATTAGTACAAAAAATACCATTAACTGTATTAACCAATGTAGCCTAACCTTCACAAGTCCACTGCTGGTCAAATCACAATTGAGAATATGCCCAAATTCTTGGAAGAATTTATTTGCAAATAATCTCACCTCTAAAATGTCCTTTGTATATTGTATTTGCTCAGCCTACAGGTCTTAACTGTCTGAATTGATTGTCCATGCATGTGATAGGTGGGTGGGTAAGGGAGGGGACTTGAAATGCTGAACTCAAGGTGGAGAAAAATTAAGTTATCAAGCAAATTTTATTAAGTTATTACAACTTGACTTTTGTTTTGATGCAATTAACGCAGAAATGTTAGTTTAAATTATGCACAATATTAAGTTGACGAAATTATCAACATTATTATATCAACACAACTCAACTCAAGGTCGATCTAAATCAATATATTAGAATTTTTAACTTGCAATCATGCATTTAATTAAGTGGTGCAGGGCCACTGAGTTACTTTTTAGAGTGTAAGCTGGACCTTGGGCTGCATGTTTCTATGAAAGATGGTATATAAATACATTTAAGTTATATATACCATAGTTTCACAATCTCACAGCTCGCAGTAATTCTACATTGGAAGGTTACGACATTATGGCTGATAATCAAATTCCTCCATTCACAATATGAATGGCATTTTTACTGCCAGAACCTCACTGTTGAGCTCTGTTGTATTATTCACATGGTTAATGGACCTGTATTTGTATAGCGCCTTTCTAATTTGCCAACCACTCACACTTTTACACTACATGCCACATTCACCCTTTCACACACATTCACTCAGTGATGGCAAAGTCCATCAAACAGAAACTAACTCATTCATACACATTCACACACTGATGCGCGGCATCTGGAGCAATTTGGGGTTCATTATCTTTCTCAAGGATACTTTGACATGTGATCTGATTTTGAATCTGTTTATTTGTAGAGGTGTGACACAAAGAAATCCAGAGAAAACTAAATACTTTATACTTGTTCACAGTCATTTAACCTGTGTGCAATTTAAATGTACAGTTATGTTGTCATAAACAGTGTTAATCTGTAGTCCAGGTTCCAGGTTCCAGGTCCAGGTGGAGAAAGTGTCTGAGTGTGTCTGCAGAGACTGTAGACGGACAGAGCAGCAGCAGAGTCTGTTATCTGTTATTAAATGTCCATGTTGTGTCACTTTGAATGGAAACAATAAAAAGCACAGTTACAATAGGTCTAATGTGGAGGTTCTTTCAAAAAGACGATGAATGATGATGAAGACAACAACAGCCACAATGATGGATAATAATAATATTAATAATAACAACAACAATAATATCAGTAAATGGAGAAATCTGTGCAACCTTTTAAAGCCAAACCCAGAAAGCAAAAGACCCCTGTTATATTTGGTAGATATACAGAGAGAAAACACATGAACTGAGCTCAGAGTCTCCAGTCTACAGTGTGGACTCTCAAATGCAGCACACACAGCTTCACTCCTTAATCCTCCAGTTCTATTTTGTTTCTACTGACCGCCAGAGGCGGTGCTTTCAGCACCTGGATATCCATCGCACGTTTGTGCAGGTCGAGTCACCTCTGACCTGGGTGACGTATGCCCTGTGCCCCGGCACAAAAGGCAGGCCCACCCAGGAAGTGACCTCTTGCATCTTCTTGCGTTGGTAAGCAGGTTTTCGAGTTTTCAAACAGATTTTGGCGTTGCTGGAAGTCTTGTTACCCAAACGGGTTGCAGCTGTGAATTTACGCCCTCCAAAAGATTGCGACTAGCCACCTTAAAACGATTGCACTCATTACATAAGGTAAGACTGATTTTTTTAGAAAAGAGTTAACATTGTGTTACGGCCACGCCGCATGGCCAACCTATAGTCAGCTGTGTCGGTGTTCATGGCGTTCCTGAAGCTGTGTCAAAGAGCATAAGAGTTACCTCTTGGTTAAATAACCTTGTATCAAGCAGCCAAAGAGAGAGGTAGGCGAAGATACGGTGGAGATTCCCTCCCGCATTTTTCTTTTCTTGTTACAGAACGCAGTAGTGGTCTCGCTTTAAATGCGTTTGTTCAAATTCTCCCAGTGAGTCATCGGAGACTATTTCAGTTGTTTGGTACGTGCTCATAAGTTTATGGAGCGGTGAGTGTCATTTACTCGTTATTGTTATTATTGTAGTTGTTAGCGCTGTTAGGCTGCAGGCCATTTAGGCTCAGCTTTTGTTTCTTTGTGAAGACGCTAATAGCGAGAGATAAAGTTGGCATTGGCGGCAGGTGCTCGTGAGCCAAGCCACCCCGTAATTGAGTTGATTAACCCTTTAGGCGCCGGGTTTTATTTTTAAAAATACTAGATTTTGACATCTAAATTTCAGGAGGCTCTGGCTTGAAAGTGGTTTGAGATAGAGACAAAGTGTAAATGAGACAAATATTGAGAATGACCTAAAGTTTATCTAGGGAGTAAATTTCCCCATCTGATTTGCATATTATGACGTCATATGGCGACGGCCATATTGGATTATATAATTTCCATGAAATACCTGATATTTTGAAAGAGAGTCGAACTTATTTCATCAGATTCACCCCCCTCCGTCTATTTGTTATGTCCACATATCAAATGAACAGGTAAAAGTAAATTGTAAGCCAACAGTTGTAAACTAGAACTATTACTACACCACAAAACTCATGTAAATAGTAGGCGTTTTTTATGATTTTTTTACCCACTACCACCCCCCCCTATTGGAGGACACTTTTTCTTTTCTTTTTTATTCTCTTCTTCTTCATTATTATTATTATTATTATCATCATTATAATATGATAATAATAATAACAGTAGGCGTCTTTTAGCTGCAGAGGCCTAATCTGTGCCCATCTATCCAGATAAAAGTTTGTAGTATTTGTAGAGTGTGGAACCTCTCATTGCAAGGCACAGTACAGAGACAATATGAACAATATTGAGACCCCACCACATAGCCTAACAAGTGGACAGGCACACCACTGCTGCATCGGATGGCTGCACCACTGCCCCGCATGGACGCACTGTGACCGGCGCGGTAGAAAGAGTGAACACTAACGCTGGTCCCAGTGTTTGTGCTTGGGTGTTTTCCTCGCTCTGCCCGGCAGCGCCGGTGCAAAGACGCACCGTGACTATCACGCTCACTAAACGACTGACCGTCATCTCCCAAAGGTAGATTTTCCCCTTAAGAATCAGAGTCAGCGAATAGGAGACCCATCACTTCCATAATCGTCAACTTTTTGCTTGTCATTTTCATTTATTTCGTCTCAATAACTCCTAAATCCAGCAATACCGCTTCAGCATAAATAGCGCCGTGGTGCACTATTTGCGGTTTCTCACCCAACAGTTTGGACGGGACTTCCTCGAACATTTTGCATTGAAACGTGACGTTTTTCTGAGCTAAGGTCTAAGTACGGGATGTCTGCCAATTGGAGGGGAGTATGAAGGAGACATAAAGCTCTATTAGGAGAAAACAGCTGTTTGATTCAGTACCGCGTCCTGTCGCAATTTTGTGACTTTGGCTCTTAAAGGGTTAAGAAGCGACCTTTTGTCACTCCCCTGGTTTAATAAATCCTTCTTAGTTTGACAATCGTGGTGCACACACACCTCACGATCGCTCCGCATATATTACGTTACATGGGAGAAGGAGATATTCAGTCTTGAAATTCATTGCTGTACAGGAGTGTGTTCGCTCCAGACGGCGCTACGTTAGGCTATATAGTAGCAATAAGTTATTTTGCCTTAAGATAGAAGGGATTGTCTACATCATATTGTTAGCATCATTGTCAACACGCGGTCAGCCAGACTGGCTCAGCTAGAGAGGACAACTGGGGCTCAGCGGCCTCCGCCACACAGGGACAGTCCTCCACCTCCAAGTCCTCACAAGCGTCGAAGGACTGAGAAATGTGAAGACCCTAATACAGGCAAACCTAAAAAGGTTGCCCTATCACGAAAGGTGGACAGTTTAACGTCTGAATTTGCACAGATTAAGGCTCTCCTTCAGAAATTACAGCCATTAGGTGCAGGGGCAGGTAGCGGTCTCACTACAGCCCAACGACTGTCGCCACCACCTTCAATATTATCACCGGAATTTGAAAGCCAGGAGGACGATGTCCTCTCCACTAGGGCTTCAGAGAGCTTAACTCTTGGCCAAGAGGAGTATGTAGAGGAGGAGGGTGATGACGGAGCAGGCCAGGACTTCCACTGCTCTCGTCCTGGCTCTCAGGAAACAAGCCACAGTG